GGATCTTCCTGCACAAAATTTTCTGGTTGTACCATATAAATTGTCTCATCAATATTGTCATTGAGAAACACCATCTTGACATCCATTTGATGAAGCTCCAAATCATAATGTGCTACAAGAGCCATGATTATCCTAAAAGAGTCTTTCGATGAAACTGAAGAGAAAGTCTCTTTAAAGTTAATCTCTTCCTTTTGGGTATAACCCTTAGCTACCAAACGAACCTTATACATTTCCACATTACCTTTAGAATCCCGTTTGGTCTTAAATATCCACTTGCAACCAATGAGTTTCATACCTTCTGGTAATGAGACAAGTTCCCAAACATTGTTGTCTTGCATGGATTTATACTCCTCCTTCATTGCTTAAATCCACTTTTCAGAGTTAGAACCTTGCATAGCTTGACGGAAGTTAACTGAGTTATCTTCCATCATATCATTGTTTTCCTCATGTTCCTGAAGAAATATTATGTAATAATCCGAAATAACACTTCTTCTTTCTTTAGTGGATCTCCGCAAAATTATTGACTCATGATGCACAGGTTCTTGAGGATCTTGAGTTTGTTCTTCATGAATAACTAAATCATCTTGAGTAAGGGGTTCATCAACAATGCCTTGTGGATGTTCCTAACTTAATTTATCAAAAGTAACTGTTTGAATCGGTTCTGGAATTGTTACTGATTTTTCCTCCAAGATAAAATTCCTAATTTTATTCCTCCCCCCAAACTCAATATCCTAAAAAAACGTAGCAGTTCCCGTCTCAAAAATTGTATTTAATGTGAGATCATAAAATTTATATCCCCTGGATCTTTCAGCATAACTTATAAAATAAGTACTTACTGTTCAGGAGTCCAATTTCTTTTCATTTGGCTTATAAGGCCTTGCCTCAGCTGGACAATCCCACACATGAAAATGCTTCAGACTAGGCTATCGCCCAGTCCAAAGCTCATAAGGTGTTTTGGTAGCTGCTTTAATTTATACTAATTTTAGAATATAATCTGTTGTCTTTAGTGCCTCTCCCCAGAGTGACTTCGGTAAGGTGGAATGACAAATCATACTCCTGACCATATATTTAAGAGTCCGGTTTCGTCTTTCAGCTCCATCATTCATACTAGGTGATCCTGACATGGTATACTATTTATTTCTCAGTAAAACTTGAAACTTAAACTAAAACAAAAGGAAAAAAATGAAGAAGAAGAAGAATAATTCATAGCTTCCTCTGCTACGATGATGAAACTTTATCTCTTTATGATGAAATTGATTAGGTTTTAAGAAACCCTGAATTAGCCAATTTGGGGATCGCATAGTGTAGTGGATTAGCGCGTTCAGATAAAATTGGGGTCTCCTCCACGGTTTCATCAGAATCAGATTGAGAATGTTACCCTCAAATTTAAATTTTAGGGTTGACAAAAATTGGGATTTTATAAATTAAACATAATCTGAATTTTTAAATATTTCCTAAGACATACATGGATCAAGTATGGACGACTCTAAAACCAATTGTTAGAAAACTAATAATTATGATCTTGATTTTGATTCTAACGATTAAACATAAACATTATCTCATACTCATAAACATGTTATAGACTGAATGCGAAAATATTCCTGAATTAACCATAATGATAATGTCCCTTTTAGAGCATTATTGATCTTATGGTCTTCCACCTGAAGAGTACATTTATTTTTTTTCTGGATTTTCTCTCTTGATAAGGATAGAAAGAAAGAAACGATAATTAAGACTTACGTTCGAGTGTGTGCTCCCGAAGGGGACCATGACCCATTAAATAAACAAAATTAGGTTAATTACTTAAGTTTTAGTATTTCTAATTTGACCCCTTATGAAATTAGAAATTATTCTATAATTTCTACACAATTTTATTTTCATGACATATGTCTTTAATCAAAATTTTAATTTAGTCAAATCACTTTATTATTTGGCTTAATAAATAATGACCCAAAATTTATCAATAATTGAAAGTTTAATAAATATAAATTATGTGAGTAAAATTCCCTTTAATATCACTTAATTAAAAAATGTCTACATCATTAATCGAGACTATGGAAATTATAAGCCTATATCAAATTTTAATTTATAACTAATTAACGAAAAAAACAAATACGCATAATAAACAAATTATGGCATAATGCGTTATATTGTTAACAGTATAGTTGTGAATACAAAGTCTTTAAAAAATTAAGTAATATGGATAATCTTGAATTGCTTAGGGTTACCATCAAAATCATCAACTATCCAACTCAAATGCTGAAGGTAATGTGAATCATTCGAAGATACTTATTATTATGAAATGATGATTTTGGAGTAATGTATAATTGATTTCATAATTCTTTTTTTTTTTTCTGAAAAGGTGTTAAATTAACTTTGACATGGACTTCAAAACGGATAAATTTGTTGTGGGTTAGACTTTAAAAAGGAACAATTTGGTTGTTTGATAGTAGGGGTGCAAGAGATTCATCTCAAGTCATTTCCTATTGCAATTTCAAAAGTAACGCTCCAAAACCAAAACTATCCACACACATGATTTTTAAAAGTAATCCCAAAACCTTCAAAAACATATATCCATCAACATTTTTATGTTAGTCAAACGAATACTGGCGTAAAGGTTGACATGTCGGGAGGAAGGAATTATGGGATTCATTTTTGACAAAGTTTAGTTAGCTGGCTTTGTCTCATCATTGGGTTGCATATCAACCAAATATAATAATCACGGCCCACCTCATAATATGTTCAAGTCTTCTTTCTTTTCTTTTTTTCAATCTTAAATCCTGAAAAAAATGAATTATAAAATATGCTGAACTATTAATATAATACCGCTTTACCCTTTTTTATTTCCACCTTAAAAGAAATATACTAAAAAAACGATTTTTTTTTCTCTTTTACTATACCTATTTTTATTAAGAAACAACTATAAATTGTTTAAAAAAATAATACTGTTTTTTATTCCTATTTTAAATAAATTTATCCAAATATATCAAAAATTATAATAATTGACTACTTTATTATTTTTTCAAAATTATTTCTCCTTGATCAAATTTATTTTGGATCCGTGAACCACAATGGATAAGAAGACTACCATTTTTTTCTTTCTTTTTCTTTAAAAAATAAAAAACCCAAGGGTTTGTATAAACTTATTTAATAATTTTATTTGCAAAAATTATTTTAAATGAAAGATAATAATATAGATGATCATAAAAGTGGTGACGAAAATTGAAAAATGATTTCGATAGCTTCATGGTGATGGAAATAAGTTATTTAACGTAATTATTAATAAAAATGTTAATATCCATTAATGAAAACAGAAAACTAAATCATAAAACATATATTATCAAATTTGATTTTTTAAAACTAATTAAAAAAAACTGTTTTAATAAAACAATTTTCAACTAAGTTTTTTTGGTTTTTAAAACCTAAAAATCTGAAAAGTATGTTTACAAATAATAATGAACAAGTCCTAATATTTTTCAATAGAATAAAACATATTTTCCACAAGATAATTATAATCAATATTTATATTTAGTATTAATTGTTTATATACCAAACACCCTTAAATTCACACAAATGAACATACAATAATATATGTGATATAAAATTAACAACTCCGTAAATAAATAATAATATTTAAAAAATAAAATTATCATATGATTTCCTTTTTCATTCCCATGTACTTTTGTAGAATATATCCCAATTCGAATCTATTTTACCTTCTACTAACTGCACAACATGATTTATATTTCACGTACCAAACAAACATAAATTTCCAATTTCCAATTAGACTATTTGATCAAATTTCCTTCCAACACAAAGTTAATATTTCAATTCAAATATGATACATGGAATAATGTATAAATCCAACGCCCATAGTAATTCAATATTTTATACATAATTCATAAAATTTACAACACAATCATACCACACCGTTTTCTAATCATGAAACCAAAATCGATCAGAGCCAACATCTAATGAAATTTCAAATAACAATTTTTTAAAGTTTTATATCCAAACCAATAAAACCAGTGCCTTCATATAATTTATTATAAGGTACAATTATAATTCAAACTAATTTTCTTTATTAGGAATAATCCTACTCTTGAGATTTAAACACTTCAAAAGAGACTTTTAACACAAGATGCTCTAACCTATTTAGACATACTCATAAATCTTACATGCTACCAATTTTAACCCCGCATGAAAACTAAGAAAGAGAAGAGGAAAAAAGAACCTTAGTAAATAAAGATTCTAGTCAAATCTTAAAAAAAAAAATGGATTCAATTTGTTTGAAAAAATTTAAAGTTATAGTCAAAGAAAAGATTTTAGAGAGATAATAATTTTATATAAATGAAGAATAAAATGTATATTTTATTTATTTATAATATTTTAAAATTCAATAAAATTTATATTCATTTAATTAAATTAAATTTGATTTTCGAAAAGTCAAATATTAAATTTGATTTTCGAAAAGTCAAATATTAAATTTTGAACTATGATAATTTGATTCCTAAATTTAAAACTGAAAGAAGAAGAAGAAAGGTCTAATGGAGTAAATAATTTTGACAAGGGTCCACCTGGATAATTATTTTTGGGGATTGGACATAAAAGCCTTACAGTTGGAACTGAAGTCCAATCCACGAACCATGAGAAACTAGGAGAATAGTTGGTGGGCCGAAAAAGAGTCCAAGAACAAGGTCCCAATTTCTAAAACGACGACATCTGCACGCTCTAAAAAACCAAACAAACACCGCTTCCTCCTAATGTTATTATTACAGGCACAGCCAGTACCGTACTGTAATGATGGTGATACTAACCAAAAAGCTGTTTCCATTCAGTCAGTGTTTTCTTTTCCTATTTTCTTCTTTCACTTTTTAGACAATCACACTATTAATTATATTATATTATATTAATAGTATTTTAAATTACTCCTTGCATTCTTCTGTTTCGATTTCGAAGGAGAGGGAGTGGAACTCTGAGAGGGTTTCGCGGCAACGGCAATGGCGGAGCAGAGTAACCGCTGGAGCTGGAATATCACCGGCTTCGAGCCGTGGAAGTCACCGTCGCCGGAGCAAAACGATAAGAAACCGTCTGCACCGTTTGCGAGGAGAGACTCCACCTCCTCGGTTCCTTCGCACTCCGTGGCTTCCAAAGTTGAGGAATTAAGAGACAAGGTTAAGGTAATGCGTTTTCTTTTCCACGTGTATCGCGTTCTTCTTCTTTCGAATTCAGTAACTGCAAATGAAATTACGATGTTGAACTTTTTCGGCGAGAGTTCCAGTGGTTTCTGCTTCCGCATCGGTTTATATGCATTTTGAATTTTCGGATTTTTTTTTGAGAATTTTAGTGGCTGTTAGTGGTGAGGATTTGACTGTGAAGTAGGTTTGGAATCGAAAGAGTATTTAATTTGCTGTTGGGGAAATTGTTTGCCTAACACGACCTTGAGTTCTGGCAAAGCTGACACGTTGAATAAATTTTTGTTCGTTCTATATTTTAAAAAGGAAAAACAAAACAAAGAAATGGTGTGTTGACGAAAGGAAGAAGAGTTGCATGCTTAATAAGGTTTCATTTTCTAAATTTCGTCTCATTCTTTGTATTGCATTTGGAAGAAGATAGCCAAGTGTACGCTTTTGATTGTTGCCTTAATTGTTTCCTCTTCCAGTTGAAAGCTATTAGTATTGGGTATACAGAGAGAATGTGAATTAAGAAGGGATTCACTATCCTTTTGAACCTGGCTAATCAGAGTGTTTAGAACATACTCCTAGGTGGTGTGTTGCTTGAATACTACATCAAGCAGGTTCAGTCATCATTAGTTAAGGTTCCAGATTTGCAGATTCCAGGTTCAATCAGCATTAATTGAGATAGAGTTTACAGATTATAGAGGGGAATGTGAGGAAAGATGGGAGTCACTACTTAAACAGGTGTATCAGAGTGTGTAAAACATACTCGCTGGTGGTAGTTTCTTTCGGCAGTTGCTTGACTATATCAATTAGGTTCAGTCAGCATACAATGCGATTCCAGATTTGAAAATGCCAATTTATTTCTTAATCAGCTACGTTTATTGCATGGTTTGAATTAAGGTGGACGTCTAGCTTCTATAAATTTTTATGTCTTCAAAATCTGCATTGAATTTCTTATAGTGAGGAGATTAAAATATCTTCTCAGTAAGTACCCGAACTGGACATTAGAAAATACCAAGCATTTTTTTTAGTGAAACAATTACTTGTCTAATATAAATGTAAATGATAGACAATGTAAAAATCTTATGTTGATAAACATTGGTTTCAAGCTAGTTTTTTTATTTTAAAGCAAAGATATAAAAGAAAACTTTTTCTCCTTAACATTTGTGCTAAACCAACAGCAATTAAATACATAAAAACAACTTAGATTATTTTCTGAGTAAAAAAGATGTTATCTATCCACAAGTATATGTGTATAACCTTTTTCTACTTATATATTGTAGCTCAAAATCCCCTGCATATTTGTAAAACTTGAATCAAACTCACCCTGTTTCTAGTTTAAATTAGTTTTGAATGGTTCATCGATTCCATGTTTGGTTGGGATATTTTTGGAAATAATTGCTATTTTTTATAAGATTTTTTAGGGAATTATTAAAAAGATGATTGTTTTCTAAATATGCAAGGTATATATTAGTATAATAACATTTTTCCTAAGAACAATGCTATAAACACTCTTTATTTGAATTGTGCACAATTTGTATGTGCATGCAAAACAAAACCAAACAGTTAGATTATTTTTCCCCGCTTAATTGTTGTAGAAAAATGAATAATTACTTCTCTCATTGGCTAGCACTCACGTCATCAAAGTCTATGGATTACTGGCCTAACATTTAAGTCATACAATTTTCTAAGTAATAAGTGGTAATTGGAGCATTTCTGATTACATAGTGAGAGAAGTTCTGAATACACAATGGAGGATGTGGTCCAAAATATTTTGGGAAATGGGTAATGACTAATTATATTGATAATAAAACTTTTAAACTTAGTGGGAAATTTGGCCCCACAATCTACATATAGTTCTTCCTATTCTCAGTTCTATGGTCATTGATTCCTCCTTACTGCAAAATCCAATGTGGGCATAGATTCTCTATGATTTTTGAGTGAACTTTACTTAGGTGGGATGTTGCGACTTTGTCCTGATTTTGATGCTTGGTAGTTCTGTAATGAAGAAGGAAAAAAAAATGTGGCCTTTCAGTTTCAATATTATGAATTTAGATGGCAGGCATGTTGGGAGAGGCTGTTAGAACTTTGGAAGGTAAAATTTATGATTGAACTCACTGCAAATTTTGAAAGATTTGATGTGCAAACAGAAAAAATATTTTTATGTAAAACAGAGTAGAAGTTATCCCCTTCTGGATTACATAATTTCATGTATAAAATTTAAGAGAAGTTTATTTTTGCATATATGGGGTGCAAACAAATATAAGTGAAGATGACCCTTACAAATCCAGAATTGTAGTACATAAAACTTGGTGGGAGAAGGGTAAACTATTTAATTTGTTGCAAAGACTTGATTATTATTGGTTGATGGAGAGTTTGAGCCAGTTGTGGTAGACTGGTATCCGTGCTGTCATGTACAAAGTAAAGGATGGCTAAGATGTGTTTTTTATAGAGAATCTTTTATACTATTTAAACTAACTTTACATTCTTATAAGTACTGGCTAGTCTTTTTGGTAGGAATATATTGTTTAATGTGGTCTGGTCTCCTACTTGATTGTTGTGGATCATGCAAATTTTTGTTTTTAGACACATGTTGACAATTACATCAGGTGTTTTGCACAGCTTGCTAGAAATGACTACGTGCAGTTAAGACAAGAAGCAAGTGAACTTCAAGAATATTCAAATGCAAAACTTGATCGTGTAACAAGATATCTTGGTGTTCTTGCAGAGAAAGCCCACAAGTTAGGTAACACTAATTTGTCCGACTTGTGGTTCTTTAATATGCAGTTAGTTTTGATATTTTTCATTTTTATTGTTAATTCTTTTGGTTGATTGGATCACTTATATACTCAGATAAACAACTTAAATAAGTGTTTGCTTTCATTCAATTAAGCTGTACTGTTATGAATGTATCAATTTAGCAACTAGAAATGTCAGCTACTCAGTATTATTGTAATAGTTCTGCTTAAGACATCAGTGTGATATCATTAGCAAAAGCCTGTATACACAGATCTTTATGTGAATTTTTGAAGTCCTTGGAAAAACATGGCAATTTGGCAAATGCACTTAATGTATTCTAAACTTACATGTCAAAGTTATGATAAATATATAAGATAAAATGTAGAATGCAAATTTTATTTCTCACACATATATGTATGTATACATCATCCTCTAAGAGTGGATCTTCATCATTGCTGGCCATCACTGGCACCTACATCGTTAAATGCATGCAGTTCATCATGTACCTTATCTACTCCTTCCTCACCAATTTTGTCTACCTCCGACAACTGGATTTCCATTTTCAATGCCAGCTACCTCCTCTTTTCCACCAGTGTTGATAACTTTGATAGCTGCAGTGTCATCACATAGAAGATAAAAAAATCATGGGTGGAAAGGGGACCATAGATGGATAGAGGTCCACTTCTTTTTGGATTTTTTGTGCTAAATTTTTGGTGCAGGCTGTTAAAACACTCCAATTAAAAAACACTCCAATTAAAACATGGGTATGACTGTATTAGCCGATACCCCTCCCCCCACAACACACATATGTAAATATGTACTTTTATATTCAAAGTAACAAAACATTTATCTAACTCTTAACATGTTCAAATCCTAAACTAATATGGGGGCAAAAATGATGAATATTTGCATTAGAGCCTATCTTAAATCTGACTTCTAGCATGTTCAAATCATACAGCGTTATCTGAGATGTGCTTACTTTCATGTAGGCACATGGGATTTATTTTTATGTGACTATGATGTTCTGTGGAATCAACAATAAATGTAGGGGATGTATATCTAGTTGCATTAATTTCTTGAAGTACTTGCAGTTATGTGAAATTTGAATGTACCTACACCTGCCATGTCTTTTCTTGTTAGGCCATGATGCTGATGGTTTTCTATTTTTGAACTTTGTGCTGCATCTGTGAATTTCAGATCAAGCTACCCTTGAAGCTGAGGCAAGAATATCTTCTGTGATCAATGAGAAAAAGAAATTGTTCAATGACTTATTGACATCTAAAGGTGATTGCTACATGTATTTCCTTTACTGTTGCTAGCTTCTATGTATTGACTTTGTTCTTTGTCCCTCAATGATGCTGTTTGTATATTGCGTAATATGTAATATACATCAAGTGAATTTTAAGTTGTTAAGTACATGCCCTATCTATTTTTAACCATATTCAAATGCATGCTTTGCTGAGATGGAAAGATCTACATAGCTGTTAGATATGGTTCTATTCTTTTCAGGTAACATAAGGGTATTCTGCCGTACTAGGCCATTATTTGAAGATGAAGGTCCCTCAGTTGTTGAATTTCCAGATGATTATACCATACGTGTAAATACTGGAGATGAATCCTTGTCTAACTCAAAGAAAGAATTTGAATTTGATAGAGTTTATGGACCTCATGTTGGACAGGGTAAAATGGTTCCATTTTGTTACTATATTTTGGGTGGCAGGGGGAGGGACTGGGGAGTGGGTTCCAACTCAAAATCCTGGGAATGGTTTTCTTCTTACTTATAATTTACCTCTTATGTTTGCAGCTGAGTTGTTCAGTGATGTTCAACCAATGGTGCAATCAGCTTTGGATGGATATAATATTTCCTTATTTGCATATGGACAAACACATTCTGGAAAGACACACACTATGGTTGTTTTTTTGTCTTTCACTGTGTGTGCTGATTTTTATCGCACTCAATAGAAATAGATATTTGGATGATGTTCTAGAATTCAGTGTTGATTTAAAATTGAAATACCGATCCTATGGGTGAACTTAATTATTTATACCTCAAGTTAGTAATGCCTAATAATCTGCATTTGCAATGTTTATTCATTGTTTTCAGGAAGGATCAAGCTATGACAGGGGTTTATATGCTCGTTGTTTTGAGGAGTTGTTTGATTTGTCCAACTTGGATACAACTGCTACTTCTCAATATACATTCTGCATTACTGTTTGTGAGCTCTACAATGAACAGGTCTATTTCTTTTAACTTAGTTTGTGACCCTTTCTGGTTTAGTTTGACTTGGGATTACAAGGGTTTTCATTGTCTCTTTATATGTTCTTACAGATAAGGGATCTGATCTTGGAGTCAGGGAAAAGTTTGCCTAAACTGTGTTTTGGTTCACCTGAATATCTCATGGAACTAATGCAGGAAAAAGTTGATAACCCTCTGGAATTTTCTAGGGTTTTGAAAGCTGCATTCCAGAGTCGAGGAAATAATCCATTAAAGATTAATGTTTCTCATTTGTATGGTCTCATTATATTATGCATGGTTATATTGTAAATTGGCTTTATATTTTCTGTTTGGTGTTGTATGATAGATTTCTATTGATAGCATACTTTCTCTGATGGAGCTGGTGATGTCAATGCACAGATCTGAGTTTGTGATATATGATACAATATACTCTCACCGTTCCTATATACAAGACTTAAGTACGTAATTCATCAGGATTAAGGAAAGTGGTTAAGCTAGTTGATGAAGTAAATTTGTGTTAAATTTATATTTTTGGTCCAAAACTACTTGTATTTAATACTCTTCTCTCTCTTCTAATTGTTGTTCGTACAATCTCTCTTTTTTAATTAGGGATATTTTTGTCTAAAAATAATAAATGGAAGACACATTATGAGTTGAATCTTATAAAAAAGGCACTAGTTCTAATTTGGGTCTTATAAATAGGAAAAGAGGGAGTACTATGATAAAGATTTTTTTTAACTTTTCTTTTTCTTTTTACATAACTTTTGACTAAATTAAGTGATATTATGAAGCAGAAAATATTGAAGGCTGAAAAATTAATACATTATGGACTTAGTAAGCAATAATATTTATTAGTTAGTTTAACTATGTCTTCATGTTTCTTCAAATTTATCACTGCCATGATATAATGTTCTCTCAGGTATATTATTGACGTTGTTACTATTTTGATATTTGTGCTCATCTGTTTTTTTGAAAGTTAATGTATTCTACATGCTGTGCAGTGTATACTAATTCAGATAAGTGAATTTCATTTTATGCCTTGTATTGTCAGGATTGTTACAATACATATATTTTTTAAGAATTTGATCACCGGTGAAAACTCATATAGCAAGCTCTCTCTGGTTGATTTGGCTGGAAGTGAAGGTTTGATAACAGAAGATGATAGTGGTGAGCGTGTCACGGATATGCTTCATGTTATGAAGTCACTTTCAGCGTATGTTTTTTTTTTTTTTTTAATTTTTTCAAACTCTTTAAATTTTTCTTCCCTGTCAACTTTATTTTTATTAACTTATCAGCAGGTGTTCTTTCGTCACCCATGCAAGTTAATGCCAAATTTTAATTCTCTCAACATACTACTGTTAGAATTTTCCGTGTCTAATTGTTTGTTGCATTTGAAAATGTCTTTACAGGTTGGGAGATGTATTGTCTTCTTTGACATCTAAAAAGGATGTTGTTCCTTATGAAAACTCGGTGCTAACAAAGCTATTTGCAGATTCTCTTGGTATTATTTTTGTCTCCTCTTATTTTAATAAGCTTATGGCAACATCTATATATGGTTTAAGCTGTTAGACACGGGACAGTTTGATTCTTGATCAAAAATGGCAATAGAAATTGTATGTGCCTCTTAAATACTAATAAGATTTTATGTTTGGTGTGACTTTTGCATTCTACTATATTCAATACTTAGATACTCTGCATGGTTTTTCCTGTAGCTCTTGGTTCTCTAATTGCGTTGTTGTTACTAATAATCCAAACCTGCTCCAGTCAAGTGTATTGAAGCATATGTATTCTCTTGGTAGTGCTACCATTTTTTGTTATCTCTGGGATTTATATATTGATTTCAAAGCATCATTATTGTAAGCATATAATTTATGAGGACCTTTTGTTTACGTAACTGTTTCTTGATTATAGTTTTTTTTGGCTTTTGGCATCAGTTAGCAGAAGATTTTTTTTATTTGTGTATTTGAGAGTTCTTTCTTTAAAACTTAAAAAATAAAGGCATTTTTTTTTCTTTTTTTATTTATTCCAGCAAAATGAAATATTTTGTTAAATGTTGGAAAAAATCTTACAGGGACTAGGGTATTATGTGGTGCCTAAGTCTCACATCAAGGAGTACGAAATGCTCAGCAAAATAAATGACATAGACTTGTTTCTCCCCCTTGACAACTAGCTTTTGAGGGAGGGTTCTTCAACTGTTTGAGTGCTTATTAGTTTGGTTGCTGGTGTCTTGTAAGGGACTACCTTGGAAAGTTTGACCACAAAGGCTGAGTGAAGTGCTGTAGAGTGTAGTTGCCTGTATGTTAGTTCCCAGGAGAGGTGTTATGATAGGGACTTGGGTATTATGGAGTGCTTAAGCCCCACATCTAATTGGCATGGAGTTTGTTTAATTATAAGAAAATTTGCAGTCACTTCTAAAGTTCTGTTGAGGACAGTGGGCTCCTTAACTGTGATTCTTGGGAATGTAATATTAGTGCATTTGCAATTATTCCTCCATTTGTTATCACCAGGTGATTCTGTTAGACATTTTTAGTTAATAAGTATTTCTAGGATACAAATAAGATTAATAATATGAGACCCTAATTTGGCAATCCATATATGCACATTTTTATTGTGCCTAACTTTGGCGGTACTATGCTACTAAAACAAATGTCTAGTCTATGGAAGGTTTTATTTATGAATAGTTAAAATCTCAAATTAAAACTTTAGCTCGTATAGTTTTTAACAATTTTCACCTTTAACTTTTCAAAAATTGTCCTCACCCTTATTGTGGGTTGCATTGTCATGTTGCGAATGTTAGATAGGTCCAGTCACAATCGAACTCATAATCTTGACTCTCGTACCAATTGAAGAAAAGGTTGACTTTAAAAGGGACTTGAATTGAATCTAGGACTATTTTGTAGGTACATGATAGGCGATTTAGTATGAGCGCTTATACAGAAAGTACAAGTTATAAGGAAAAAGAGAGAAATTATACTAGTTCATCCCAACTCTTGGGTTAAGGGCAGTTCTTCTTTAAGAGTCTTAAAAGGATTCACTATAATCAACTTCATTACAATCAAGTATGCTTGCTGTCACTTCAGGTTACAATGGGTGCACCAAATCACTCTTAATTATCTCTTCCTAATCTCCCCATGAGACTAAGAACTGCAAATATTCTTAATTGCTACTTCTGGCTATAACGAAAAAATTAAAAAAAACTATCAAAACAACTCTCATCAACAGGGTATATAATAAAAAGCTCTTGCTTGAAGGATATAATAAAGATTTTTTCTCAATTACTAGACTTCAAATATATAAATATTTTCAAATATTTCCTTCCCCATTTTCATTATAAACAGAATCAATCTGGTCCCTGCTGGATATAACCTTAAGAAAAGGAGCATCTAAATGTGTACCAAATGAATATTAAGAAGACTCTGACTCTGACTGGAATGATTAAGCATCTGTAGAGGATGGCTTACAGGAAACAAGAACAGAAAGATGCATCTATTTTTGATATAGACCACCGGTATACTCCACAGAAGGTAATGCTGTTTGAACTAGGTAGGACCACTATGGCAACTGAGTTATCCCTTTTAGTATTTAATGCAGTTACATATGTAGGACTTGAATTTGAGACCTTTGGTCAAGCTAGAACAACCCTGTGCCAGCTGATCTATGTGTTTGGTGGTAAAATATCTATTTAATAAAGAAAAACTCAATTAAGAAACTAAAATGGTGTTATAATAATGTGGGTTATTTTGAAAATTCTAGTAAGTTTAAGCCTAAGGACTGATTTGAGAAGAAAAAGGTTTGGTCATGAAAGTGAAAGGAAACTACAGGGACCAAAATTTGAATTTTTATTTAACAAAGGATAACATCTTAATCTATGTGGAATAAAAAAACACATGTATGAATTTGAGGTGACACTGAATATTTACCTCCATTTCATTACACAAATTGAAAGAATGTACCTCTGTGGTCATTCTCTCTCTTTTTCCTTTGTCCTGAAAGTTGACTCTGTAATTTTATTTATATTGTTTCTTCATAACTAGATATTCAATTATTTTGCTTGGTCTTAGACATATGATACTGTTTTCAATATAATTTTTCTTTGATGTTTTAGGTGGGAGTTCAAAAACTCTGATGATTGTAAATGTGTGTCCAAATTCTTCAAATTTGTCTGAGACATTACTGTCTCTCAATTTCTCTGCCAGAGCTCGAAATTCTGTCTTAAGCCTTGGAAATCGGGATACAATTAAGAAGTGGAGAGATGTTGTATGTTCGTCCTTATTCCCATTCCTCCTTTGCAAAAGATAGTTTTCTACTTTGATTTACTTTTCATTTCCAACTATAGATTTTGTGGGAAGCAGTCAAAAAACTTAATAAATCATGCTTATTGTGTATAATAAATATTATATGAATATAATGTTGATTTTGGCATTGAACCCCTCCTTTTACTCAATTCAAATTTCAAACAGTGTTTGTTAGTTTAATAGAAAGTTACTTGTGCATGTAAATATCAATTCTTGTGTGGTATAACTGAGAATTGCTTGGATTTCGCTATATCTTTTCTTATATGATCTTTACATTTCATAGGAAGTTCAATTTTTATTATTTATTCTATCACTTTCTCAAAAAAAAAAAAAAAGTTAGTAATTTCAACAGACTGCTAGACTTCAAATTTACTATATATCTTCCAGATTTAAGTTGGGATGGTTTTATAGGCAAACGATGCACGGAAAGAGTTATATGAGAAGGAAAAAGAAATCCAAGTTCTCAAACAAGACTGTGTGAGACTTAAGCAAGCACTGAAAGATGCTAATGATCAGTGTGTTCTACTCTTCAATGAAGTACAGAAGGCATGGAATGTTTCTTCTGCATTGCAGACAGATTTAAAGGTTTGACTGTTTATTAATTTTACTGTTGTATCTGGTGGCATGTTACTTAGTGGTTTGATGATTCTCTGCTTCCACATGACATGTAATAATGTAAAGTCAGTCGGTAGTACTGTGATCTTTTCATGCAGTGAGTAGAATGAGGAAGTTTATACAGCATTTAAGTAATTTTCTTAAGTGGTTAAGATTAATATTTATAATGTCTCTTGTAGTATTTTCTCTATCAATTTTTGGCTTGGATTTGTGGAAAATGTTCAGTCAACTGATCTAGTTTTTTGCATGGATCTGATAGAAATCAAACTCTGCATCTAATCAGCAATGTTATTGTCCATGTGTTCATACGTTGTGAAGAGTGCAGTTTTTGTGTCCAGTGATATTCCTTTAAATTTTAAATAGATACTATTTGACTACTTATCATCTCAATTTGGTGATGTTCTTCAACTTCTTCCCTATTCTGTCTCTTGTTTTAAAAAGTTGATTCCTATTGTCTCTTGTTTGAAAGAGGTCATGTTGTATGTGCCTCTGTTAGGAGAGATGTAAAATTATCTTGTACAAGAAATGCCGATGTCCACTTTTGTGAATATTCACACTGTACTGCAACACTTGATTGTTATATTTGAACAGTAGACTTGCCAGTGAGCATCATCACTACTTTATTTTCTGCAGTCAGAGCATATTTTGCTGGCCGATAATTATAAGGCAGAGAAAGAAGAAAATTCTCAGCTTAGAAATCAAGTTGCTCATATATTACAGTTAGAACAAGAGCAAAATTTGCAGATTCAACAGCGTGATTCAACCATTCAAAGTTTGCAGGTTAATATTTTATAGCTTTTGTAAAATGTTCAACAGCTGCTTTGTGAAGGTTTATTGAGTTCATTTTCTTTAGTAATTTTGTTGGAGATAGAAATATTGGAGATAAGAGCTTCTTTAATGTTTATTTTTTCAAATATCCAAAATACTTGGTATGGCTAGGTTCAATGCATCTTAGGAAGTAGTGATATCTTCTCTTGTAAATTGTTTTAGCATTAATTATCTTTGAACACCCTTTTATATAATAAAAAGTCCATTCCGCATTGTGAAAAACACTCAAGCACCTTTTATAATGTTGTGTTAATGTTCTAAATACTAAAATAGCAGGATCATCCTTTTTCGTTTGTATGTGATTCAGCGAAGCCACATTAACTTATTTATCTTGGTCAATATTATAATTTGAATAGAGGAATGCATTCTAGGTTCCAGAAATAGTCAGGTGTATGGATATCATGTTGAAGCTGCACCTTCCCATCTTTATCTATAATTTAAAAACAAACCTTTACATTTTTTATTTTCATCTTTCTTAGCTCTTAGAGATTTGGCCAGTTGCTTCCTTAGCTCTTTCCATATCCTCATAGCCATTGGAGTTGCTTCTCACATAATCTAAATGAAGCATATGGATTAGAATACTGAGCACCTTTGCAGAATACATAATTTCTATTGTGTTTCTGGGATCCAAACATCATTTCATGGACCAACTTTCAAAATTGCATGTGTTAGGTAAGGTTCATGATTGGCTTAACAATAACAGTTAATAAAATCCTTCACCTAGCACAATTTGGAGACACTCATTTGTGTTGTCTCCTTTGCCCATTCACTAGTAATCTTCTATAAATATCTTTATTTTGTGTGTGAACTCTAAAAAGCAAGAGAAGCAAACCAATTGTTAAGTTGGGAGATGAGGGAAGAACTAGTGGGTTTGAATTATACCTACCAGAGCAGAGGACCTCATGTAACTGATAGGAAATATACAGGCTTCCCCAGTTCTTTCTTTCTAATCTACTCAGATAGCAGTAATACACAGAGTTTAAAGGCGTTTGGTCTTTATTAATAGCTTTATTATTCAGATTACTTTTCCACTTCGCACCTACTGTGGTTGCCACGCCACGTGCAAGTGCTATCTGTCATATTGCTGGCAGTAGCACTACAACTACGACTGTGCTATCCACCTATCTTCTGTGTAGCCTGTGGCATGGCATTGCAGATCATTGCGTGCCCTCTAAGCTTTGTTCTATGACAACTGTGATCTTAGATGCATCCAACCAACTTTGTTCTTGCTTGCCTGGTGATATTTGTAATCTCTTTTTATTCTCTGATACAGGCTAAAATTGGAAGCCTTGAAATACAACTCAATGAAGCCCTTAAATCCAGCAACACTAGGTTAAATGTTGGCTCAGAAACTGTTTCTGGAGCTCAATCTAAGTCCAGGACAACAGGGGATGGCATGGATTCATCTGCAGTTACCAATAAACTAGAAGAGGAACTCAAGAAACGTGATGCTCTGATTGAGGTGTAATATACCCTGTCTGATTATAGACTTCTTCCAATTGTTGTTTTCCATTGGGTTATGGTTATTTATTTTCATTTCGTTCTCCAATTTTTTTTTAGTTTTTTCCATAATCATTTTAATTGACGATAGATTTAGCAAACAAATGGCCCATTGGTCAAGTGATAGCTACTCCGTATTCTGGAGGGGGGGGGGGGTTGCTTGTGTTGAAATCCTTGCCAAAACTACGACCAAGATATCTCAGTGTAGTGATGTACAATACTAGTTTGCTCATGTTGTGAACTTTCTAGAATGTAAAAGATTGAAGTAATCCCTGAATGTGGTCCCGTGTATCAAAATGGGCCATGCCATAAGTTCAGCACATATATTTTGTTGAATTCTTCAGCTGTGTTGAATCCTTACATGCTTACATTAGTTTCATTCGGTCTGGTGAGAAACTCAATTCAATGTTTTGCAGAGGTTGCATGTAGAAAATGAGAAATTATTTGATAAGTTGACTGAGAAAGCATCTCTGGCTGGATCACCTAAGGTAGGCAATTTTATTTTTTTTACATAAGTTACCATTCCCAAGGTTATCATTCATTATGTTGTGTGTAAGTGGTGGGGTGGGGGTCCATTTACATCAAGAATAAGTCCTAACTCACTCCATTGAGTAACTATTCATAAATGTTGAAGAAAGAAAAATAGAGATGGAAGAGGTACTGAAAACTGTGTATGGATACACAACTGATCATAGTAAATACATGATATGATATGCCTACAAATCAAATTCTATTAGATCTGATTCTAATAAGATATTCCTTTAATTATAAAGATCCTAATTAAATAAGGAAATAAATCATTAGATATTTCTTTAAATACTCTAAAATGTTCTGAGATAATATCCTTAGATATTTCTAACAACAAATATTGAGTTTTATCAATCAATCATTGAACTATGTTCATAAAGTAGATCAAGCTTATGAATTTCCTAGAATTTTAAAATTAATTGGTACTTCATTCAACTACTTTACATTAAATATTTTATACCTTTCGAAATGTATATAAATGCTATTGTTAAATATCTGTGTATTGGTAGTCTCTCCATTTACTCTAAACGTTAAATCTTGTACACTTATGTTGTTGAATATTTTTATATAGGGTTCTAATTTTACTATTTCAAGTGTTGAATATTGTCATATTGTGATAATGACCATTATACTAAATTTAAGATAAATTGGGCATCCATATGTGTGTCTGTTTCCTCAATAGTAATCATTTAGCATTTTTTTAATGGGTGTTAATGCGATAAAGGACTGTGGGACAAAGTAGTTGGTAATTTTTTTTTTCTCTCCCTCTCTCATATAACTTCGCAAAGGATTTTTTACTTCTAAATAAAATAAACTGGCTTGTGTCTGTGCGGCTCTAACTATATGGATTCTTCAATATTCTTTGTCATGCTTTCTTTTCTTTCAATCAGGCTATCAGTAACATATGCGAAAATAAGGATGGCAGAATCTAAAGTACTGTGACCATTATTTGTACTGCATGCCTCTATGCTATCAATGTGGTGCTTTTGCCATTTTAAAATTTTAAATTTATTTTCAGCAGTCAAGTCCATTAACTAGGGGATCAGTTAATGTTGAGCCTCGAAATATGGGAAGGTATAATTTTATTTTATGTCATATATACTTTGCAGTTGTATGTTGTTTTAAGCTTATAGATACTGGGTTCGTTCTCATTGTATTGAAACTGGAATAACACCAGCACCACTGCAAGAGATCGTTCTATGGATGTTCTTCCTTCATCTTTGGTGATAGATAAGCATGATGGCACGGTTGCTTTATTTAAATCTGGTTCTGAGAAAGTGAAAACTACCCCTGCCGGTGAATATCTTACTGCAGCCCTGAATGACTTTAATCCTGATCTGTATGAAGGACTTGCTGCCATTTCTGATGGTGCAAACAAGCTTCTAATGCTGGTATGGATCTTGAGTGTTTAGGGTTCAGTTTTTACTTTAGTGAAAACAAATAAATTGTAGTTTATGTGCTAAATTGTTCTTTTTTATTTTTAAATCAAGTACCTTTTTCATACGAATGTTTCTGTGCTTATCACACTTTTTAAATTGAAAGCTTCAGAAAACTCTGACCTCTGCTGCTAGTCTCTGAATGGATAGTGCAATGACTTGGATGCATGAAGTTTTTCCTGGTTCAAATTGGAAATTCTGCTTTAGTTGCTATTGAACAGTAAGAAAAAGTACAATCAATAAAAGTTGTTATAATTCTCTATTGCAAACCTGTATATAGAAAAAAATATTTGAGGACACAACAGGAGTAAGGCCCCATAAGTCACAGAAAACAAGGTCAAAAGGTGATGTATAGAAGAATGTTACGAGGGATGCCTATGAGACTTCCCCATACAGCAAGAAAGAACAAAATGGCATATATTCTTTATTACGAAAAGGAAAATTACATGATTGAAGAACAAGATGGAAAACATTTAAATTGGGATGACCTAATCTTAAATGCCAAGTAAATGTGTGTGAGAGGTTGCCTGAGATTTAAGAAAACAATGATTAGGATGAAATTCAAAATAAAAATTGTTATCTTGAGCAAATTTGCTACACTAATTAAATTTTTAGTAATGGAAAAGATTTTTAAGCAGAAATCATAGGTTAGGATTTTGTGGGGAATAGAGTAAAGAAGAACCAGAGGAACAATTTGATAAACCTTGTCCATTACCAGTGAAAATCTTGTCAGAACCTTCAAAAGTTGAAGCTTGTTGATTGTTTTGAGAGGCACTGGTTACAAGACATGAAGCACCAGAATCCAGAACCTAAGTTTGTGAGATGTCTTGATCATTATTAGCAATCATAACTTGTGGATTTTTGGAAGGAACAATCTGCTGTGAATTAATGATTGGTGGTGATGGATACTGTTTGTGTTACTGTTTGTGTTGCTGTTGATGTTGAAGGTGTAGCATTTCCTTGAAATAAAGGATAGTGCATACCATAGTTCGACATATTTTGAGATAGCTGGAATTGAGGATTGAATCGATTGTACCAAGTGAGAGCAATATGACCAAACTTGAAGCAAACTTGGCAATGAGACCACAACTTCCTCTTACATGATTAGGACAACCACTTTTTTCTGTAAATAAACCATGTAATTTAGTGTTTTGTAAATTTGTATCTTTGAAATTGGGTTGAACTTGATGATTATTGGAGAAAGAATGAGACTGCATAGATGTTTGGGCAACATTTATTGATAGAGAAAGAATGAAATCTGAAACTGTCCTTTTTCAATATTTTTGTTGGCGTAGTTCATGAGCTAGAAGACCTTCAACTTCTTCAATTACAATATTTTCAGTTCTTGAGATGAGCCTTCAAGAACTGAATCAAGATGTTCTTTGAAAGAAACCAGATCACCAACGGATGCAAGAATCGGCAAGAGTTTTAATTTGAATAAAAAAGACAGAACGATTATTAAGAGAGTAATTGGACAACTCAGACCTCAGTTGGCTTGATTTGTCCTAGTTTGATGATGAAAATATGAATGAATCTTCTCCCAAACTTCATAAGAGTGGAGACAACCTAGGAAACGAGCAAGAATTGTACTAGAAAGAGACAATTGTAACCAAGCTATCAACATTTGATCTTGTTGTTCCCAAACAAGATAATCTAATTCATGCAATCAAGAACACAATCTTGATCAGAGAGAAAATGGGAAGGAAGTTTTGCAGCTACAAGAAAATGATGCTGCCTATGTGCCTTGATAATCGGCTCTTGATGAGAAAATGTGACTAGAGTTTGTGCAGGAGCAAGGAGGAAAGAACCACTATCAGTGACAGTGGCAACAGTGTGAGTCTGCAAGGGTGTTGCTTGAGTCATTGCAGGTGGTGGAGTGGAAGGAGGAGGAATATTTTCTGAAGCCATGGATCATATGGCTCTTGATACCTTAACATGGTATCAGAGCCAAAGCCTAACATCTTTCCGGTTATTGTCAAGGGTCAAAAGTTGCCCTTTAGTTGCCAATTGGTTTTATGTTGGAACCTTAACAGAAAGAAACAAAACAAGAAAGATATATTGATATAGTAAAAAAAAAGTACAATCAGTAAAAGTTGTTATAATTATCTGTTGCAATATATATACACTAAACAGAGAATTACCAATAGTTGTTGCAGGCATTACACAATGCTTACTCTTCTTAGTGCAGTTTGCATGTGTGTGGAATTTATTATTGGTTGTATTCTTATGATTGATTACAATAAAATTTGCAGCAACATATCACCAACGGGAGAGAGGAGGAAAATTGCTTTGTGAGGGACATTACATATCCTCCTGAAAATGAAAAATATAGTTAATATTTGATAAAGTTGCTAAAAAAATGCTAAAAGACTGTCCAATTTTTTTGCATATATGTAGTAGAATTTCTTTTGAACCAACCAGTTGCCAAGCCTAGAAGACAGGCCATAAACATGAGTCTCTCTCTTTTCAAATATGTGAGCATAGACAACAACGACCAATTCTTTTCTCACCAAGTGACCTTGCATGATAGCATGTTAAATACAAAACCACCCTTTTAACTTAAGCTTGTGGGATGGAATTTTACCATCATTTTTCTTAATGGTCACAGGTTCTCGCTGCTGTCATCAAAGCTGGTGCTTCCAGAGAACATGAAATACTTGCTGAAATTAGGGATGCTGTTTTCTCATTTATTCGAAAAATGGAACCAAGGCGAGTAATGGATACCATGCTTGTTTCCCGTGTTAGAATCTTATATATAAGATCTTTGCTCGCTAGATCCCCAGAGTTGCAATCTATTAAGGTAGAGTATTCTTCTTTTTCTTTTTCACTTGTTAATGTGTATTTAGTGCTGTTCTATCAAAATTTCCAGGCTTACCTTTCTAATTTAGTAAATTTTGCACGTTGGATTGGAAGGTATTGCCAGTTGAGTGCTTTCTAGAAAAGGCCAACACTGGACCCAGTAGAGGTTCCAGTCGGGCAAGCAGTCCGGGAAGATCTTCTGTGCAGTATGTTGATGAACACATCCAGGGATTTAAAGTGAATATAAAGCCTGAAAAGAAATCCAAATTTTCATCTGTTGTGTTGAAGATACGCGGTATTGATGAGGTAGTGATATTATCCTTTAATCATTCTGGTTAGATATGTTAAAAAATATTGAGCAATACTTTGTTTCTCGTCTTTCTTTTGAATTTTGAATATCATAGATAATATTTGTTGGTAATCCTGTCTCGTATTTTTACTCATGTTGATTAAAATATATATGTGTCACCTTGTTTTGTAATTTTAAATAAACCGTGTAGGAAACCTGGAGACAACAGGTAACTGGGGGAAAACTTAGGGAAATCAGCGAAGAAGCAAAAAGTTTTGCAATTGGAAATAAGGCTATTGCAGCACTCTTTGTACATACTCCAGCAGGAGAGCTGCAGCGCCAAATTAGATCCTGGCTTGCAGAGAAATTTGATTTTCTATCTCTTATGGGAAATGATGCACCTGGGGGGACAATTGGTCAGTTGGAGCTTATCTCAACTGCAATTATGGATGGTTGGATGGCTGGACTCGGCAGTGCTCTATCTCCCCAAACTGATGCTCTTGGCCAACTTTTTTTTGAATATTCAAAACGTGTCTATACTTCTCAACTGCAGCACTTGAAGGTACACTTCATCTTAAATCTGTGTAGAATGATTATTATAAATGAATACTATTTAATATTCTTTATTTTTTAGAAGAAGCCATGTTCAACTTGGTACCTTTTGAAGAGGTGCTGTTGCTACTAAAGATAGTTGTGTTTAACACATTTATAAACAAACTAGACTTTGCCCATTTACTTACATTGGCATTAATATTGAATGTGTTTTTCTTTACTTCGTTTTGGTATTTAGCCGATGTTTATTCCAAAGCAGTGTTTTTTTTTAGTGCACAAAGAGATTAATTAGTAAGCTTTACTTGTTGTTTTAGGTGTCAACATAGTTGAGATGACTACCAACATACTGATGTTTTAGCACTCTCATTTTTATTGAAAAAAAAAATAGTAAGCTTTACTTATATGAAGTATTTTGTTTTGTTACTTTTAGAGGATATCATGGCTCTGTTGGTCTGTGATAGGAAATTGGACTAGATCATATATATGTTCTCACTATTCTGTTGTAGATATGAATGAGGTATATCATCTTTAATAGATACAGAATTACAGAGAAACATGGCAAATTGAAATAGGAAAAATACAAAGATTATCCTGACTTTCAAGAAGTCTGGTTTTCTCTGACAGATCCTTCACCATTTAATTTTTCTGTTTACTCTCTTTCCCATCTATCCCATGCTTACTCTACTATGTTGTCTATCCATCTTTAGACCCATGCCATGTAGGATGTTAGGTGTTCTCCTCGCTGGTCATGCTTACTTTGGAAGCTGACCCATGCTGCTCATCTAACTTCTTCCTATATCACTCGTTTTTGTATTCTTTTTTCTGTTCCTTAATCATTTTTTTCTTTTATCTGATAAAAATGTTCTAGGCTAAGAAGACTATGAATGCTAGACTGAATAAAGGCTGTTAGCTATTAGACATGTTTATCTACAACCAAGTATTTTATTTATTTACTTTATATTTTAATTATAAGTTTCTTCAGAAAGCAAGCCTAATTCAGATGCAAACCAAAAAATTTAGGCACTTCAAGTCTTCATTGTGAGGGATTTGTGTTCTGAGATATCACATCACGTAGTAATATGGCCAAAGTAATGTATAAGTGGGACAACTTTTACCTCAAACCAGTTTTGTGGGTTTGAGATATCACATCACGTAGTTGTTCCATCATTATTGACTTTTAAGGAATCCTTTCCTCATTATTTTCCTGTTATAAAGATATTGCAGTGAGCTTTGTTTTGGTGAATATAGTCATTTATTCTACCTTCTGTCTATCATTTTATTTAAATTGGGTGAGATCATAAAATTCTTAGGAAGGGTCCGGCTTCTATAGGTCATAAGGTAGATTAATGTTCACTTTAATATCTGAGAATTGAGATACAGATAAACAACCTTTAGCCTAAATGCATATAGCAATACCATAACATTTCTCAGAAGCTCCTGGACATCATCACTAACATTATTTCCCCTATTTTATGTATCCCGAATAATACTATCTGCTCTTACATTATTATTCCTCTTGATCTTTTTATATTCTTTGAGTGTATCTCATATTAAACTTTGAATTTAAAATTAGTGCTAGCTAAAAATACTACTGGACCAAATTTTGCAATAATATTGTTAAGGCATCTTACATTGCTGGAAATATTGCCAAAATACTCCTTATAAGCCTTTGAGCAATCCTCTTACCTTGAGCAGTCCATCTTACATTGGTGTTATTGGGCTCAGTTCATCTCTAATATGGGTATCAAACCCTATCGAGTCTTGATGTTAGGCCACCCACAATGCTTAGTCTTTTATAGAAACTTAATGCCTTAAAGACCCCATCCTTGCTTTGAGTGGGTATGTTCAGATGTCCCACATCAGCTACGAAGATAACTAAAATTTTTCTTTCATACATTTTGAAATCATCTATTCAAATCACCTAATTGCTTTACTACATGTGAGAGTTGTTCATCACCATCTATGGCCAGTTACATTTTTGTGGTTTTCTTGATTGGGTTTAGCTATTTGAACACACCATGAACCGAAAAATGAGAGAAACTTCATGTTTTCTTCATGTTTGTGGTTAAATTATGTTCTGATGCTTGTTTTCCTAACATTGGCTTATCAGGATATTGCTGGTACCTTGGCAACAGAAGAGGCTGACGAAGCAGCACAAGTGGCCAAGTTGCGTTCAGCTCTAGAATCTGTTGATCACAAAAGAAGAAAGGTACGTTGTTTCACTTGAGATGGAGCAAACGATTTCAGAATTGCCTGTGTTAATCCAGAGCATGATTAGTTATATATACTGATATTGGAAAACTAGGTAATTAGGAAAATGATACAAATTCAAGTCATAATTATAAACAGAAAATAGGCAGCCCCTGAACAGGAGATATTTTACCCAAATTGGAGATACTTTAAGCATGCATGTACTTGTATAAACCTGTATATGAATATGCCTAGAGTTTTCTAATGAGTTGACTGTTCTTTCTATGCATTAGTTTAATATACAAAGATTTCACGGGAAATTTTAAAATAACATTATAACATGTTATTGTTATGCTTTATTTTTAAAATATTTTTCATTTGATATTTGGATATTTCTGTGATAAGAGGAAGTTAAAGTACCAAATATTCTGAAACTATTTTTTTTATAACTTTGTGGATTCTACTTCTGTTTGCCCAGTCTAATTCAGCACTTCTAGAAAGTCATCTTTGTGTAATTAAGATCATATAAATGAAATATCTACTCCTTCTCTTTTCTGGTATATAAACAACACGCCTGTAATGATTGTTTATCTCAAAGGAATTAAAGTGCAGTCACATAGTCGTGGGCTTCAATTTGGTAAAATTGATTGTTACTACTGAGCAACAAAATAGGCAAGGAGGGATAATTTTACAGTAACATTAGCCTCAAGTCTTCAATGATTTTTCTGACCATTTTGTTAGACTTGTACCATTGCATTGTTTGTGTTCGTTAAGTTTTTAAATAGTAATTTAAGAAGGAATTAATGCCTTATTTTCTTAAATGAATGTATATTTATCATGTCCTGGCAATTATTTTCAGATTTTACAACAAATGAGAAGTGATGTTGTTTTACTGACATTGGAAAATGGTGGTTCGCCCATTCAAAATCCTTCTACTGCTGCTGAGGATGCAAGATTAGCATCTCTCATTTCACTTGATAGAATCCTGAAGCAAGTCAAGGTATCCTTTTTTCTGATTGAATTCTGATTTTGAAACTGTAGTGTTCTACTAGGAAATACTCAATAGTTCATGGTATAATTTGAACAGGATATAACTAGACTTTCTACTGTGAACACCATCGAGAAAAGTAAGAAAAGAGCAGTGATTGGTTCTCTTGATAAACTGACAGAACAAATGCCTGCGCTTCTTGAAATTGATCATCCATGTGCTCAGAGGTACATTGCAGATGCTCGCAGAATGGTTGAGGTAAGGAATTTCTGCTCTGGCTAGATAGTATATTGAGTTGTGAAGGAATCAGATTGTGCTTTGAACTGTGTTGGCATGCTCAGTGTTGTCTAAAATTCACTGCTATTGCTCTGGGTAAAAAGCATATTTCTCATCATAATGACAGGAATCATGCCATTGGGTGGGGTGGGTTGTGGGGTGGGTGGGGGTGGCTTCTAAACATTACCATTTATGTACTTTGTTGTATACTTTTGAAAAACATCTCTCTATGCTTGTCCAAGATTTATCTGTGTTTTCCCTGTATTTGATTTTTTTTTTCTATTATTTTTTAAGATCTTTGTTATCTAAATTTTTTTGTTGCCAACTAAGATTATAACCCTGTTAAATATTTAATAAATGTTGTACCCAAAAGAAAAAAAGAAAACTAACGAATGAATGGATGAAAACAATCAAAATGCTTTTCTATCTCAGTATTTCTTGTAAATTTGGGTCTGAGTCCGACCTTTGTTGAGTTTTGGGATTAATCCCTCTGTTATAATGCAGTCAATTCCTGAAGAAGATGACCGTATTCAAAATCTATCACATTCTCGCAAGTCATCTATTGATACAGGCTCTGGATCTGGAACTGATGTGGCACAGTGGAACGTCCTTCAATTTAATACGGGTAATACCTCCCCATTTATAATAAAATGTGGAGCAAACTCAAATTCAGAATTAATCATTAAAGCCGAGGCCAGAGTTCAGGAACCTAAAGGAGGTGAGATTGTGAGGGTTGCCCCTAGACCGTCCATTTTGGAATATATGAGCTTGGAGGAAATGAAGCAAGTATTTGCTGAACTACCCGAGGCTCTAAGATTGCTTGCCCTTGCAAGGACTGCGGATGGAACTCGAGCACGGTATTCTAGATTATATAGGACCTTGGCTATGAAGGTTCCATCACTCAGGGATCTGGTCAGTGAGCTTGAAAAAGGGGGTGCACTGAAAGATGTGAGAACATGACTTTTAAAGCAAAAGTGTTTATCAAATTCGCATTATATGCCTCGAGTAGGTTGCATGTGAGACATCGGTTGGGGGAGCGACCGTTGTGTGCATCATCATGTTAAACTGTTATTATGTATGCTTGGTGTATTTAGTTGTAATTATCAGTTTCTTATACTGCAGTTTTGTATATCAAGTAAATCATCAATCCAAAGAATGGGTCTTATTGTTTTTAACCTGATGTTTGATAATTAAAGAAAATTTTAAAAGTGAGACTTGATTTTCATTTGAAAATGTTGGACCAAATATTAGGTACTCTTTGTAGTATTTCTCCCATTGGAGATATAGTTTTTCTTATTACTAGATTTTTTTTACTTTAGAAAGCTATTAAGCAGTAAAAATTATTCATGTCAAGTGTCTTTAATGGTTTGTTTGGATATAGAGATACGTACCTAGGAAATAAGTAGGAGAGAAGTTGGTAAATTTTTAGGGCATTTGAATTGAAAACAGGAAATAAGTAAAAAAGAAATAAAAATGTTATATTTAGTCTATAAATTTATTTATTTATTTAAATCAAACAAACTTTAGTGAAAGTTAACTATTCATCGTAAAAAAAAAGAATATTTTGCTTATTTGACCTTTCTGTACTCCCACCTAAACTGACTTCAAAACAAGTTCATAAATCATAGAGGTCAACTTGATTGTACGAAAATGTTTAGCTAATAATAAGATAGTAATATTCTTTTGTTTGATTTTCCTTTTTCAGGTATTGAAGAAATGGTAAAATTGACCTACTGAAACAGTATCCATACTGTAAAAAAAAACAAAAAAAACTCATATTTGTTGAATTACAATGAAAATAAAAACAATTTTATGAAATAGACATGATATATGTATGTTAGTACAACTCGATCATGAAGTGAGAACTCCAAATTCCATTATCGATCCTCTTGAGGCAGAAGTTGTTGCGTGCAGGGAAGTCATGCGATGATAAAGTTTCGCAAGTAAATAAAAATTAGATTTGAGAAATTTAGATGAATTAATGGTCAATAAGAGTCTTAGTAGTGTGATGGTTCTTCGTTATGCATACATTTTTTACTTTTTTTTTTAATTAAACATTTTCAATAATGTATTTTATTTTTTATGTGTACTTTTACACCATACATCATTCTTATTTTATCTGTGTATTTAAAGAGATTTTATAAAAAGTTAAAATTGTTATATATCATAATTTGAATGAATAATATATTGAAAAAAAAAACTTAAATAGGATCTGTATCAATTTATTGATTTAACTATACCTATGTAATTTTTTTCTTTGTTCTCGTAATTTTTTATTTTTTATTTCTTTTTTATTTTTTAGTTTACTTTTTTTTTCCTTTTCTAAGTTTCTTGTTTCTCTTTTTCTTCTCTTGTTTATTTTCCTAATTAACATTATAATTAAAAAATATTAATTAATTATTTAAAATTATGATTAAAATAAATAATTTTATTTATTTTGATAATACATAAATTTATTATTATTATTATTATATTTATATATATATATATATATATATATATATATATATGAAAGATAATATTATACGAAGACAGAAAAAAAAGTAAATGAAGAAAGAAAAAAATTAACAAAAAAATAATAAAATAATTATATTATATCAAATAAATTTATTTTCAGTTGTTCAATTTTATATATAAACAATAAATAGATCAAATATAAAGAGATTTATTTAAATAATTTTTTTAACTATATTATTATTATTTATGGGATATATTCTCATAATTTTTATTATTTTATATATCTTTAAATCAATTTAAATGAGACTGAAATTCAAACAGGCCCTAAATATTGAAATTCTATTCGTATTTTTTGGTCATTATATTTCACAGTAAATAATATTACACCGACGCTGAACTCAATTATAAAATATGTTTGACATCTATATTATTGACATGTGTAGATTTTTTTTATCCTCTATATAATTATTTTTTTAAAATATATAACCAATTTTTATTGTTTAATTTTTAAATATAAAAATATTATTATGTAATTACATTTTGATAAATAAATTTATTTTATTTTTACTTTTGTTATTTTTTAATGCTATATAATTATATTCATCTTTATTATTTTTTTAATATAATAAATGAGGTGTCTTATACTGTAAAAATATAAATGCTGATGTTAGGGAATTTCTCCTTCTAATATATATTTATATTATTTTATAAAGAAATTATTTCTTTCATTTCATCATTGATAAAATATATTATTTATATTATTATAAAAAGATAATTATTATGATATTATTTATTCATAAAAAAAAACGATAAAATGAAAAAAGAATATATAAAAATTAAAATAAAAAATTTCACATGAATAAAAACAACATACCAAAATAAAGTTAAAATAATAATAATAATAATAATTTTCCTGTTGCACCAGTCCACTCTTTCCGACTTTCTCCCCTGTGATTTCACTATACTCTGCCAAGCGTTGTGGATTCCCTGACGGAGAGAGAAGACGGTAAACGAAATGTCTTCAATTTCTTGCACTAGGCTGACACTGTTTACCATTGCGGCAGTTACGGTTCAGTTCATCGGTCTCTCCATCTTCGTTTTCGGCTTCTTCCCCGTCAAACCACTTCTCACTGGCTACAGGTAACACTCTAATAATATCACTCCATTTCCTTAACCAACCTTTTCCACTTATTCATTACTCCACTTTCTTCTCTCATCATTAGTGGCTTGGAGAGTTTCCGACGACCGACCTGCGATAACGACGGCGCGGCATATCAGAGCGATGCGTCTCTGCCTCCGGATCGCCTTAGGTTTTTATATCAGGTTGTGATGGTGAATCGTGAATGCATTACTTGTTACGAATTATCGTTTGTTTGATTTATTATCGCAGTATATGATATATTCATTCGTATTTCCTGTAAATTGGAGGCCTGTTATGGTTATTATAGAGTGATTAATTTGATGGAATGCAATTTTCATTTCTGCTTCTAGTTTTGTCGTGTATACTGATGGATTTCGAAAATGTTGTCTGTGTAGGAAGTATCTGAGGTTCCTCCTTTGTATGATCGATTTATCTTAATGGTATGTACCTTTTCCGGAAATATCGTATTCGTTGACGTCTAATTTGGTTGTTCATTTCTTTTGGTTTTTCACGAGCTTCGGTCTATGGTTTTGCTGTAGGTTATTGATGGTCTTCCGGCAGAATTTGTGCTTGGCAAGAAGGGTCAGCCTCCTAGCAAGGCTTTTATGGAAGCTATGCCGTATACGCAGTCGTTGTTGGCAAATGGTATGGCTGTTGGCTATCATGCTATAGCTGCTGCTCCAACTGTTACGATGCCTCGTTTGAAGGTTAGTGTCCTATCCTGTTTCCAGTGCGGAAGTAAGGAAGGATGGCACGTGGTTTATTGTTTTCCTTTTCCTTCTCTGACCTCTTTTTATCATATATTTTTGTTTGTCTTTCCAGGCAATGGTTTCTGGAGCAATAGGGGGTTTTCTGGATGTGGCTTTCAACTTTAACACACAGGCTTATTTAGAAGACAATCTTCTTGGTTAGTTGGTATTATTGTAGCAACCAATGTTGGAAAAATTAACCATATCTTTACTTTTTCATAGTATTGATGTCATGTCACCATTACTTGCATATTGCAGCACAGTTCTTTAAGATTGGATGGAAAATGGTTATGCATGGTGATGATACATGGCTTAAATTGTTTCCTGGATTATTTGAAAGACACGATGGAGTTAGTAGTTTTTTTGTGAGTATTTTTTATTAGTATAAAATAAAAACATCTTATCTGACTTCCCAATCAATTAACATTCTATTAATGATTTCTTATGTCTCACAAGGACAAGGCAATTTGTTTCTTTACATGGCATCTTGTTTCAATGCTTTTAAGTTTATATATAAAATAGTATGGTTGCTTTGTTATTTTACATTGTTTTTCTGTATCTTCTTACTACTGCAGGTTAAAGATACTGTACAAGTGGATCATAATGTGTCTCGACATCTTGGTGATGAGCTTCGGAGAGATGATTGGAATTTTCTGGTAAATAATTTTGACTGCTTCTAATTTGGTTGGTTTCCAGCTAATATTATGTAAATTGCCATTTTTTTATCATTTCCAATTTACAAACTGGCACATATTTTCTGCGCCTTATGCCTTTTTTTTTCAGTCAGTAGTATGGAACCTTTAGGTTTTAAACCACCCCGTACCCCCCACATTAGCATGTTCTTTTTCTTAGCTGCTGCTTTATTGATGTCATATTACTCCTGAACAATTGGTCTCATGTACGCCTTGGTGTATTTCTGTGTATTGGATTTAGATATAAGCTTCCTTTTTAGTGTGCATATGTTATCTATGCTTCCAAGTATGATTTGGCATATTTCTAAGTTTTTTCATGCATTCCAAAACTTGTTTATATCCCCTGCTTTTCTCTTGGAAAAAATAACTATTTCCATACAAATAAATTTCTTGAAAGAGAGATTTAACTATGATTTTATTGAATGTTGTGTTTATAAATTTCTGAAGATTAAATTAAAAGACTGTTTGGATATTTAACATTTTGATTACATGAGACCTTTTCCCTTCATTTCTAACTATATATCACTAGTCTTTTTAATAGATGTACCTTAAGGGGATCATGCGATTTTTCATAACTGTGTCAACTTTACCATTTTCTTACTAGTATAGCAAGTGCTAACTGCCATGTGGTATAATGTTGTTAGATGGACTTAAGTGAATACTTACACAATTAGTACTACCTTTTATTAACTATAAGTTAGTTTGGTTATACCTAACAAGCAGTTATGATTTTATCAGCTATAATATAAGAGTTAGTTTCTACTTATTAATATTTACACCATATGCTGCATCGTTTTACTGGTTGCTAGAATGTACATTCTTTGTTTTCATCTCTGTTATCAACTGACTTCTTTCAACTCTTGACTTTTAAAGGTAGATGTAAATATACTTATGCACTAAATTGATGGCTTTCACTTTCAGTAGAAGTTAAGTCCTGAGATTTATTTAGTATAAGGGTTATTCAAAATTGTATGCTATCTAGTTTCACCAAGTATCAAATGTGGATATTTTGTCTAGTTCAATATTGCATGATGCTTTATAATGAAGACTTAATTTCATTATATACATTTTACTAAATTTATTATAGATACTTCATTATCTAGGCTTGGATCATGTTGGACATATTGGTGGGCGCAACAGGTATCATCATTGTCTTCACTCTATACCTGTAATTTAATTCTGTTCTCTAAGCTTAAGTTGGACGTCTACTGTTTCAGTGTGTTAATGGCTTCTAAACTTTTTGAAATGGATGAAGTGGTGAAGATGATTCATATAAATACTTCGCAAGATCTAGAAAATGATAAAGGGAAGACACTTCTGGTTTGTGACTACCCTCTCGCTGCTTTCTTGAATTGTGTGCTAAAGAATTCATGACTTGTTTATTGTGGTATGGGCATTTCTGGACATTAATATTAATAGAGTTTGAGTTGGTGGAAATATTGATCGGAGGAATATCCATTGCAGCAGTGTTAATACTCTAACTAACTAACCACAAGAGAACTACAACTGTTACTAACTAACTAGAGTTCGTAAGTGTCTAAACAGAAGAGAAAATAAAAGAAAAAGTACAATCCACTTACGGAGTAATATTACTCTAATAAATATGAACATGATTATGAAGAAAGTTATTTCATACGAGCCGAGGTACATTACATACAACAAAGAAAGAATGCTTAAAAAGGAAATAAATAATAAATAGGATACTCCCAAAATTAACTAGGAATCCAAAATTACAGATATGAAATAAAAATAGAATAGTTGATTGTACTCCTTCCAATTAAGGATATGTTGTGATTTCTCCTGAACTTTTGATTGATTTCCAATACCACCTACCCCACCCCAAGCTGGGGAATAAATTTTAGTTATTCCTAGCTTGCCAACAGTAGAATTAAAGTCAGATTTCAACAATTTTGTTGCAATGTAGCGTAGAGTAAATTCCCATTTTCAATTTCTTACTTGATTCAGTTGTCAATTTTTACATGCTTCATCCTATCATGTTGAATTGGATTGTGAACTATGCTGATGGTTGTCTTTATGTCACTAAAGGATATGGTTCTTGAATTGGAATAGATAAATAATTGTTTAAAGTGGAAGATAACACAAGTTCCTTTATCATATTTATTCTATATAACTTCTTGGTTCTGGTAATTTTAATTTAGGAATGATGCATCTGCATGCACACTGTGAAGACAGAGAGAGAGAGAGAGAGAACAAGAGACATGTGATATATTTCTTGTGTTTGAATTACAAAATGGAGCATATATTTATATTAGTTATAATAAATATGAATGTAATTTTACACATGATGACGAGAATGTTAACATTACAGCATTACCTAATTAATAAATAATTCTTCCCTGTTACATTATTCTATAATTACATTATTTCCAACACATGTTCTTGGATAAGTAAAAGAAATGCATTATAGGTTTCAAGTCTCCACTTCTGTTGTATACTATAATTTTCATTTGTAGTCTTATACCTTTAGTGTTATTTATTCTTTAGTTTAGTTTATGTTTTCCATTTATCTTTCTGTGGTTATTATTAGTTAATTATTAATTAAAACTGTAAAGACCAAGTCCTTTCAAATTTAATTAATCTCTGCTGCAAATGGATGTACAGGTTGTAGTCAGTGACCATGGAATGACTGAGAATGGTAATCATGGGGGTTCATCCTACGAGGAAACAGACTCAATAGTTCTATTTATTGGGCCAAAAACCCATGCCTCTCACTATTTTTCATCAAATCATGACACAATTTTCCAGGTAATATGACCATTGTTGATAATTTTCTTACTTCGTTGGCTCTCATGGTATTACCTTTGTTTGCAAGCCATGAAGCAATCTTCTTGCATTCAGTGCATTAACCTACTTCTGTGTGCATGTATCCATATGCAATGAAACTCTTAAGATTTTACATAAATTTTCTCGTGCCCTGTTGAAACATATTCTGCTATCTCTCTATTCACCACTCTCTGCTTCTTCTTGTTTGTCAATCTTGAACCTATCATACAATTTAACCAGAGTCAATGGCAAAATATCATTTAGCTAGAGATCCTGGGTAGCAGGTGGTAAAATATGTATGCAATTTACATCTTATTACTGTGCACCAGGTTGATATTGTTCCAACATTAGCTTTACTTTTTGGCGTGCCGATTCCTAAAAATAATATTGGTGTTTTGATCTCTCAAATGGTTGACTCTCTGACAGGTTAGTTCTCTTTATGTCTATGCTTGTCTATTTATCCGAAGAATAAAGCAGGTGATATGACATTTTCTAATATCTGCATTCATCAGGCATATTATATTTTTTAACAGTAAAATTATGTGATTTTACCCTTTTATTCCTTGTTGCTTCTTTGGTGAGTTAGATGACCAAAAGCTGAGGGCACTGCAGTTGAACTCATGGCAGTTGTTCAGATTACTTCAAGCACAATTGCCTGGTTTGTCCTGTAGAAATTTTCTCTGTGATACCTTCATTGCTAATAGAGGACCCACAATCAGTGATTGTAAAGGTGGGAGGGAGAAGTTTTTTTGTTGCTTGTATTTAAATGCTGCTGCTCTCCATGATGCCTGGAAGGCTAAAGTATTCTCCAGGTACGAGAAAATTTTGTTGTGCCCAGATTTAAATTTTAATCATTTCCACTGGAAATATCTTCTAAAATTTTTGTTTGAAATTTGTTTTCAAGGTCTAATGGTACAGAAGGTTATAACAGCATCATTGCTGCATATAATGAGTTTTTGAGTTCAGCAAGTGAGTGGCTATCACACAAAGCAACTGATGTATGTGTGATCTTCTTTGTCAAAATTTCTTAATATTATTTGATTTGCATCTTTAAAGTTTCTCTTAAAATTTCTCTCTTGCTGTTATGTTTCATCACAATTGTGTTTGTGCAGAAACCAATTAATTTACTTGTTCTTGGAGTTGCTGCTTTAATCATGTCATGCTTGATACTTTTGGGACTTGTGTTTTTCATCCACAAAGAAGTTCCTTCTTGGGAGATGGAAGACCATGACAATTATGTGAAGCCATGGGAAATTGATGAGGTGTTCAGTCTGTTTGGCATCCTGATCCTTGTCGCCAGTATGGGATCAAGTTCCATGATTGAGGAAGAGCATTATATTTGGAATTTCCTAACTTCCACAGTTAACTTGTTATTTTTTCGGAAAGCAATACAGTCTTTGGATCTTAATAAAGCACGAGATGCTCTCAGTTCAATAAAGGAAAAAAGAAATATATCAAGATGCCAAGTAAGTTCATTGTTCCTTATTCTTTTTACTGGGAGAATTTTGAGAGGCTGGCATCAAGGTGGTGTCAATTGGACTAATCTTCCTGACATTTCCAAGTGGCTTGAGCAGGCTGGCAACCAGTATATAAGCTTGATTCAGATAGCATCATGTGCAACGGTCATAATTTTGGGCATATCTATATTGTTCATAATGCAGTCTAAAACAAAAGTTTTAACAGTTATTGGGTTCAGCTTGTTAATGTCTGGTTTGTTGGTATTGCAACATTTTGTGAAACATCAGGACATGTCTGCCTTGTACAACAAGGATGCCAACTTATCAGTACAGATATTCTATGCTGTTCTGGGAATCACCAGTATTGCTGTTGTATTGATTTTGCCGTGGGTTATGCCTATGCAAACTCCTGAAATATGCTCAAGGAAAAACATCGACATGTCTGCTTCTGTTCCTGTTGAAATTCAGAACATGACACGTATTTTGGTATTGAAGGATTCCTTGTACATAGTTGGATGCTTGTACATAACTTCTTGGTGTCTTCTGCAGTTGTTGCTTCAACAACCCATCAATGCGATGCCTGTGCTGCTGCTCTTTATTCAATTCTTGGCCAGCATGATTACTTTTTCTTCCAGTGGGCCATGTCATAAGCAGTGGGTTGAGGTTAGTTGCAAGATTTCATGGATAAATGTTGAATTTTATTTTATATTTTGATAGCACATTAGTTTTGGGTCCCAGAGTGTGGTGCTAACTCTAAGAGTCATTGAGCTGGAATCTAATATAGGATAATTTAGGTTCACTTTTGCTATATACCAATTATTAACTTTAGGGCTTAATAGGCATGCACTGTCAATTTAAAAGTTTTTACATTGTCAACTAATAAATAATCATCTTGTATGATTTTAAAAGTAAAAGTTAATAAACTTATTGTATATGGTGATTTGTGATCAGAGGATAGTGTAAAAATCTTTGCTCTATTAGAACATATACTTTGTATTCTTCATTTTATTGGTATAATGTTTATAGTTGGAATTGTGAATTTCTCAAGCTGTCTTTTTTTTTTTTTCTTTTTTTGAGTAGTGATGGTAACATCTTTTACTTTACTCTCTACTAAAATTAAATGGTTCATATGTTATATGGTAATGATTTTGCATACCCTATTGTTGTAAAAAAAAGTTAAAAAATAAATGGTTCTAAAATTATAAATTTGCTTCAAGAAACTAAAGTAATTGGACTATGATGAGGCCCTGTTACCTGTACTTGCTCCTACACATTTAGAATTTCCTTTTAATGAGTGTTTAAAATGCTGATCATGTACTGATACTTTGCGGTTTTTTAGATTACTGCTCTGTACAATCTGGGAATGGCAGGCCATTTTGCTCTTGGGAACAGTAATACACTAGCTACAATTGACGTAGCTGGAGCATTTATTGTAATATCTCCAATTTATCTTTTTGTAATTATTTTTAAAATACCAAATTAGTTTCTACTTTGCATTTAAGATTTTAATTGTCCATAAAAAACTATTTCCTCAGCAAGGTATTACCTTTCATTGGCAGGGAATTTCAAGTCACTCAACCTTCCTTTCAGGTCTTCTAATGTTCATCATTACTTATGCATCCCCAATGTTATTCTTTCTTAGTATGGTGCTGTACATCTCTGTCAAGGCCACAATTTATCCACTGGTTATTAGGAATGGAAATTCTGGAGAAATTCTCAAGACCCTTCTTGGATTTCCTTGCTTAGTACCTCTGACCATAAATTCTCTTCTCTTGACTGTGTACACAATTGTCCTGCTGTTGATGAGGAATCACTTATTTATATGGAGTGTTTTTTCTCCTAAGTGAGTCTTCCTTGAATCCTATGTCTAGAAGTTGATGAATGATTTAATCACAGAATTATCCCTTGTGTTGTGATTTTTTGAATCTGAAGTTATAGAGATATTTTGTTCTGATTTTCTGTCCTTATTATATAACCTTGCAAAGTAACACTTTCAATTTGTTCAATTGTTCTGTAGGTACCTTTATGTTTGTGCTGCAACTGCATGTGCCTATATTGGCGCCATCATTGTAGTTGCTACCGTGATTCATACATACATCGTGCTTTTTTGGCTGAGAAAGACTTTCTCCTCAAGTAGCAAGGAAAAAGGTACGTGATGGTCATCTATGTAAAAGGACAAATTATTATTAAACTGTCAAAAAGAAATTTGACTCTTCACTGACTTGATTAATAAGTAACTCTTGATTTTGCTTTTTCTTGTTTTGAGGGGGAGGGTGGTGGAATATATAATCTAATTGTTCACTATACCTGCTCCTGTACTAATTAATCATTTACTATAGAACCTGTAAATTCATTGATGAGGATTGAAGGAGGATATAACTGATTGGCATATTCTCACTTTTACACTCGCACACTGACGTATACATATCTTCATTGCAAAATGAGAACTCTAGCGAAGATCTAGGTAGGAGCAAATGCAAAATTTGAATAGAGCTCTTTGGTGGGGCAAGTAACCAGGTTGGAAAATATTAAAAAGCTGGTTTGGTTGAGTTGAATCAATAGGATAGGACTCTTGGTATAAAAGGTAGTATAGCGTATATGAAAATGGTATCAGCTGCCGTTGAAAGTTTGAACGAAGCATGTGTCGAAATATGTTGGTAATAGAAGATGCTGTTAACGTGATTATTTTATAATTTTTTTTATTTTTATTTTAAGAAATCAAGGTTAAGCATTCTTCGTGAATCTAACTAACGTGTTTTGTGCCTTCTCCAAATTCATTCCCAAATGTATGCTTAAAAAAGATAAAGATTTGTTTTACATGATAAGAAATGGGTGTCCTTCCTCAGGGTTGCAGTCTACTTGTTAATGTGCTTTCGGCAAAATGGTCTGCACTAACTCTTTATGATGCCATACCATAAGCCATCGAACCACCGATGAGATCAGTCATTTTATTGTTTTAAAAAGGTTAAATTGAATTCTGGCCCCACTTTTTAATTTGTAGGTTTAGCTTGGTCGATTAAATAATGTGAGTGTTTCTGGAACATCAAATGGACCATTTCGTTGTTCTTTTTATACTAACAATGTTCAGTTCAATAGATTTAACATCGTATCTCAGTTTGTCTTGAATCATGAAATTGATTAAATTCTAGTAGGGGGTCCCATGGTTCCTATGCCGCCGCGTTTCCCGGTCCTTCTCTTTTAGTGCTTCGACCCGAAGCGATAGCTTCTAGCTAGTTCAGTGGATAAGATGGCTGCGCTCCAGCTCACTCAAGAATGGGACGGCAGTGATCCGCTGGCAAGCTCGTTCCGATCTTAGATACAGTACATTGGAATCCTGAAGCACCACCACGAACGCTGTTATGCGTTCGCCTGCGGTGCGGTAAGGCACCACCCTGTTGTGCCAGCAGCCAACTCCGTGTCAGCTTAGTTATCCTCATCAAGCCACTTACTTGATGTCTAGCTTGCCAACTGATAGACGGTTCCTTTTCCCCCAGATCAATAAAGAAGGGAGAAGTGATAAATTGATGGAAAGGCAATGAGTACTAGTACTTTAAAATATCAAGGTGAAAATTTTTAAAACATTGGATGATTATAAAACAAAATATTGACATGAGGAATGAAAAGAAGATTTTGGTCTTTCAAGAGCACTTGAACTATCTGGTTACAAGGATCGAATTATTGAGCAAGTCAAATACTCCCAATCTGTTGGACCATCCAAAGGCATATAAATTTAGTTGGTGCTTGAATATATGCATGTGAGAATGATTTTGAATCAACACCAAATTTATATATTCATATATAAATGTGAGTTTTAGGTAACATTATTTTTATTTGAATTCTATCAATATTACAAGAGACATATCAATGAAATTACATTCAAATACACTTTTATTGGAAATTGAAACATTTTAGGTTGAACATTTTATGAAGTTAAGATTATGAATAAGCTGAGTTGAAGATTGTAACAAAAAGTGAGCACAATACTGAGTGAATGTTGGCTTGTGAATTACTTGATGACGAGGAGAATATAAGATGTGAAAAGTAAAAATGAGTATTGAGATTCAAGATTTAATAACAAATGAGATATCTCATATATCTAAATAGATGGTTATTAATCCAAGTTAGTGTATAGAGTTACAAAACAGTACATTTTTTAAATCATGATTTGACAGACGAGAATTATCTACTTTTGTCATGGGAAGACAGTATCATTAAAATCCCCTATAATATACCAAGGTAAATTAGAGATTGGATTAGGCATGGCAACGGCTGGGTGAGGGCTTTGATTTGTCGATCCCCGCATTCGACTTTCCATTTTTTGAACTATCCCTGATCCTCTGTTGGGGTTAGAAATTAAGTCTCCATTCTTGTTTTCGTTGGATTTCGCATTCTTTGTCCCTCTCTGATCTATATTATTTTTAAAAAGATAATTACATTTATAAAAAATTAATTTTATTATGTATTTTTTATATTAAATAAATATTTATAATTTTATAATAATTATTAATTAAATATATATTTTAATTTATTATATTTATATTAAAATATGTATATAAAAAAATATTTAATCATTTATATATATATATATATATAATATTTATAACATTATTATTATTATAACTATGTATTCAAATATTTGAATACTTATAACATTGTTATTTGTATTCAAACATTTGATTACATATATTAGTTAATTCATTTTTAAGTTGTCATTTAAAAATATGAAATATATTGTTTATAAGAAAATATTTAATAAGTTAATTCTTATTTAATTAGTTCAATGTAATAAAAGTTTAAATTATCAATTCCTTTTAATCTTTTAAAATATAATTATTTTATTAAGATAAAATTTGATATATGATAAATAAGAATAATAAGATAAAAAAATATGACATAATAAAATCTAATAAATATAAATTATAAATAAAATAATATTAGTTACTACTAATATTTATGTAAAATATTTAGAAAAAGATAAAAAAAGAAAAAATTAATTGTGTTCATCAAATTTATTGAAAAGATTGAAAAAAAAACAAATTGATGGGACAGATTAAAGAAATGTAAAAAATTGAAAGGTAAAAGAGAGAATAATGTAATAAATTAATTGATATAAAAGATTAAAAAAGACAAAAAATTAAAAAGTGGGTAGAAGAAAAATAAAAATGATGAAATATAAAAAAATGATTTTATATGTAATAAAAAAAGAAAAAAATATTTTTAAAATATTAATATTTTAAAATTTAAATTTAAATATAAATTCGAACGGGTTGGGGTGGGGGCATTACCCATTCCCGCTCCTCGCCTCCAATTTTTTAAAGCAGGGAAAATCCGAACCCGTCTCGACCTCCGGTCAACTCGGGTTTTCTCCGTTAAACTCGGGACGGGGATCGATCCCCACGAGTACGAATCCTCATATATACGGATTGCCTAGATCGGATAAACTTGTGTCAACAAGTTCAAATAGTCAAGTCCTTCCTTCAAATCCTTTTAGGAAAATCATGGTATCTCCTCATTTAATCATCCTCAAATTGCATCATGATCTTCCATGTCAATATGATTTCTTTTAATTAAAACTCCCTCTTCCAAAATACAACATCCTACTTTAACCCTCCTATAAACCAGAAATAATTATCAAAATGAATACTCCAACACCTCTCCTCTTCACTTCACTTCTATGCGCTAAAGATTTCGAAAGAAAAAAAAAAGCAAGACCTACCAAAAAAAAAAAAGAATTGTTTTACAGTTAGATTTTTTATTTTTTTTACTTAATAGAAGAAATATTTCTTTTAATTATCAAAATAGATAAATTTTAAAAATTATAAATTTAAGTTGAGACTTCAAAAAAAGTGTTTCATAACAAATTTTTTTTATAAAATATTAGAAAAAAAATCATATTATAGTAATAATAAAAATAATTATTATATAAAGTATAATTATTTTATTGATATAATTAGTATAACATTCTTATGTTTATAATTATTAATATTATTTTTTATAATATAATAATAATAATAATAACAATAATAAATGTTATATTATAATATTATTAAAAGTAAATATAATAAAAAACTTATTAAAAAATAAAAAATTATATTATTAAATATGACTTCTACTTATTAACAATAATATATAAAAAAATCCAGAAATACTAGTTCTTCATTTTTAAAATTATGTTTCATCCTACTTATCTAAATTTATAATTTTAAAAAAATATATATTTAATTTGATAAATTTTTAAAAGGAAATTAAAAATTAAATAAAACGGTGTGCTCTACCTCTGCTACTTATCATCTTAGTGATCTCTGTCACACTACTTTCAACCTCTACCTTCAAATTTATAATTCACAGTTTGTCATTAATGTCTTATTAATAGAATTGTCCTCTATCAATTTTACATTACCTTACTCTCTGCAAATCTTGAAACTCCCCTGAGCCACATTCAATATCTTCACCTCTCTATGAATGTTAGCCAACCTTTGAAAAACAAAAAAAAAAAATTGAAGAGACCAGGAGATTACAAGTACAGTTTAAGGACCAGAGGAGTGGAATTGGCTTAGGAGGCCCTACACTCTGCACTTTCAATGATTAATAACTTTTATAAACTTGAATTATATGAAGATAAAGTAAACAAATTTACTAAACTTACAAATTAAAAAACAAATGTTGAAAAATTAATTTTTGTGATATTTATTACTTTATTATCTATTGTAATATATAATAATGATGAAATTTTTATTCTATCTATTTGTATATTTTTTTTAAAATTATGCAACTAATACAAATATTTTAAAGAAATTATCTTAAAAAAAACCTCTTTAAATATTGGATGGGATCAATAAATCTTTTATACATTTTAATACTTTTTTATGTTTTTCTCCGAGTTAATTGTATTAAAATAAATATATTTTCATTACAATAAACCATTTTTTATTCTTTTATTATGTGTAAAATTAATTTTTCATTTTTTGGAAAAAGTAATTATCTGATGCAAATGAAACAAAGCTTTTTGAGATGGTCAAATAGTCACAAACAACTAAACTAGTATAACTAAAATGGGTAAGTAGGATACTATCGAACAACACTCTTTTCTAAGGCACTGCATCCAAGTTATTTATTCACATTAAGCGATTTATTCACATTGTGCAACTTTTTTTTTTTTTCCAAGTAAATACATAATTATCAGGAGAGGAAACATCTAGAGATACTTATGTGATTTTTTTCAAAAAATTCAGTTTATAATATATATAATCTTAATAAGATGTAACTTATAAAACAAATCTAAGAATTATAAATTTAATAATCAGATATAAATGAATATAAAAAAGAAAAACCCCCAAATTATCCATAACAGTAATTAATCAAAAACTAAATGATAATAATGGACAAGAAATAAAAACAGTAAGATAATCATAAAGAACCAAAATGGTGTTAGGGGGAAACAAATAGGTATAAACTGACCAAACGACCCCTTAATATGTATCTCTTAATATTCCAAATTTTTTTGCATTAAACTCTTTCCTTCTCCCTCGCACACCACACTCACATCGCAAAAACTTACCCAAATGGATCCTTTCAAAGGATCCGAACCCGAAAACCCTATCGCCACATGCCTTTCCATGCTCTCCCTCCGCCGCTTCTCCGCCTGCCGAGACTTCGCCCGCCGCCTCCCTCCATCCGACAACATCGCCCGACTCCTCGCCGTAGCCGACGTTCTCTCCGCCGTTGACTTCTATTCCGTTCTCCAGCTCCAACGCTCCAACGGTTTCAACCGCGACCTCACGCGGCGGCAGTACGCGAAGCTGGCGCTCCTCCTGGACCCGACGAGCCCTGACAAGTTCCCCTTCTCAGATGAGGCCCTCGCACGTGTGCAGGAAGCCTGGCACGTGCTCTCCCACCCCGAGCGCCGTGCCCTCTACGACCGCGAGCACCCATTCCCCGCAACGGCGACGTTTTGGAGCGCGTGCCCCTACTGCTGGAATATCTTCGAGTACGAGAAGATGTACGAGGATTGCGCGCTGCAGTGCCAGGTTTGTGGGAAGGCGTTCCAGGGCGTGGCGGTGGAGTCGCCGGCAATGGTGGGCGACACAGTGGTGGAGGGAGAGGAACTCCGGCAGTACTACTCGTGCGAGTCGAGTGTGCCCTTGATGTATTATGAGGTAAAGGAGGAGATTAAGGGTAGGAACGTTTTTGGTGAACAAAATGCTGCACCGATTGTGGATATTTCTGATGATGATAATGAAGGGTCTGTTATAAGAAATGAAGGGTTGCAAGGGAATGGTGAGAAGCGGCGAATGAGGGTAAAAACTGTAGCGAAGAGGGTTAGAGGGAACAGGATGACTGGGCCTCTTGATAGTGATTTGGATTTGGATTTGAGTGAAGAAGATGGTGAATTGGAGTTCATTGAAGGAGAGGATGATATCTTTGTCGGTGTGCGATTTCAAAAGTGATGCTTGCAGCAATGGTGATGAAATTTTACTTCTTTCTTTGCTAATTCTGGGAGGCATTGTATAGGCTGCTAGTGATCGGTGAGTAGTTGTTTTAGTTAAGAGTTTTTTTCCACAGACTATTTTGTGAGAGCGGAGAAAACAAACTAGAAACGGAAAATTAGGGAATAGTTTTCGCTTGCGTTTTGTTATTTTGGTAAAGATGAGCCATGTTCATACGTTGTTACTTTTGTAACACCACTTTTATTTCGAAGACTTTCTGAAATTGAAATGAAAATATTTGATTTCCTGACTGTGTGCTTCCACTTGTTTAATCTAGATTCCCGTCTGAATGAATTGTTTATTTTTTTTGTCAGTCTGTTAGTTTTCTGGGAGCAAGATTGGTTGAGTTTCTTTTCTAGGTTTTGATTAATGGGGTCTTGCATCAAACTGTTAAGCTTCTCAATGAGCGTGCTCTCTACTTTGGTTTTCTGGGTACATCGTTCATCACTTGGTCTTGCTAAATTGTTAGTGATGATTACGGAACCCCGGGCTGTTAGCAAACTAGTTCACCATGTTGAACTCACCATGATCTTGCTAAATTGTTTATGGTGATTTTGTTCCTTCAAGAATAGAGACTTGAATCTTTTAAGCCAAAACTTGTTTTGGATTGGTTTGGTTTAGCAAGAAATGTATTTGCTTCAGTTTTCATAAGCAGTCCTCTCAACAAGACCCCACACAAAGACAGCAGAAATATAGGAATGGTTTGTCTTTTCAGCATCTTTTATTAACATTTCTATTGTACAGCATTTGGCTCTCATTTCATGGTTCTTCTTTTCAGTCGCTTTGCATAATGCATCCTTCCTGTGCCCTTCAACTCATAGCAAAGGCACTGCTGCATTTTTTAAGTATTTATGGCACAGTATGACTTTACCAACATTTGCTATTTGGACTCCACGAGTATGAGATCGATTAAATAGTTAGACATTACTGCCTGGCCTTATTCCAACAAAGATAAGTGCCTTTATCTTTGCCAAAAGCTGTTCGATGATCTAAGCAATAGAGTATTCGAGTGAGAAACATCTTAGTCATATGGGCAAACACTACTGAAAAAATAAAACTGTTTGGTTTTCGCATAAAATAAATTGTTTAACCTCTTGCCTCTGAACATGAGTGAAATTGTGCTGGATCTGATTTATTGAGTTTTGACCCAGTTTGGTAGGGTAGGGTTTATGCTCGTGGAGGATGCCAACACAACAAGCATAAAAGTAAGATGGACATGCTGTATGCGCGTTGTGGCAACATTGTAATAGGTTTTGTACAATTTGAGATACGTGTCTAAACAAATTTTGGACATTATTTTGTGTCTGTTTGTTCACGTCTCATACGTCTACCTCTGAAAGTACATTTGAAATTAACGGAGAAAATATATCGTTTTCCATGCTTTTTCTATAACCCCTCCCTTTCTTCGCCTCAATTCAAACACACGCTTGGCCTTCATGAATAAAAACTATTTTTTAGCATGCCTTTTAAGTTAATAAATTTATTGTCTTGTTCAATGAAAGAGTACATTAATAAAATTAAGTTAATGAATATAAATTTATTTCAATAACGACAAAAATACACTAAAGTATTAAAATAAATATGTTGCATTTTCTATTTAAAAATGTTAACATAATTTCAAATATTTTAGTTTATAAAATACTAATTATTTGAAAAGTTTTATATTATCGATCAAAGATACTTTAGAAGATAAAAAAAGTATTTTGTTTTACTAAAGTTAAAAATACCAATGCATTGAAAATAATTAAATAATTAATTAAAAAATAGTTAATAAATACATGTTTGAAGTTAAGAATTCAAAGGCTAACTACAAATTAAAATTTTAAAAGAATCAAAATCTAAAGAATAAAAACTATATTATTTTAAAACATCAAACTTTTATTTAACTATGTTATTTATTCATTTCAGAATTATATTTAATGTAATTAATACATTTGAAATAATGTTTTGATTAAGTAAAATTAATTTAAAACATGATTTAAACATATTTACATATTAAAACATACTTGATTCAATATTTAAAAAAGAATTGACTACAAAATAATTTTTAAAGAACTCTTAAATATAAATTGAATTTAAAAATATAAATATTTTAAAGTATAAAACTATGTAAATATACTATTTACTCACTGCACAACTCTTTGCAATTTCCCCTCTAATAATTGTCTATCAAGAATCAAACTCGTGACTTTACTTTGCTACCAATTGTTAGGATCGAACACTTACTACTTGACCAAAATCTATAGTTATTAATCAAAACGTAACTTTTTTTATATAAGAGTAACAACACAAGCTGCCACGATTCAATTGTCATATGACCCACTTAATCTTTACTACGGGACAATTTATTAAAAAATTATATAAGTTTTTTAGCATTTTTAAGACCTATACGTTCAGTTTCTCCTTTTAAGAATAAAATATGCTAAATACAATTTTAAAATATTTATTTTTTAAAATTAAGAATTTTACGTTACATAAACTGTAAGTTGATTATAATGTAAAAGAGTTTATAATTTAATATTTTTTAATCAATTATAAAAAGAAAAAAAATATTAATGAACTTAAATATAAATAACTTTTAATTACTATTATCTTATTCAATGATACTATTCAAATTATATTTCAATTAATTGGATTTTATTTTCAATATTTATTCAAATTATATTTCAATTAATTGGATTTTATTTTCAATATTCTTTTATTCTTATTTTGTGATACAAGTTTAAACGAGTATACATTAGGGTGGAGGGGATTTTTCATTTTCTGAATTTGATTATTAAACTAAATGATATTAAGTAATTTTTTAATCAATTTTGTTAAATTTGTTTATATTTTAGTTTAGAGAAAATAGTTTTGTAAAGAAACAATATATTATCGATGCATATATTATTTATTTTACAATTTTTATTAAAAAAATATCATTTACAATATACATAACAAATATTATCAAAATTCTTTTTATTTAAAATAATAAAAAATAGACCCAATCCTCACAACATAAAAATTCACATTGAATTCATATAAATTACTCAATTAAAATAATTTATTATTATTATTATTATTATTATTATTATTATTATATATGGTCAATATATGATTTTTAAGTAATATTACAACTACACATGATTATCAACATTTTAATGTAATATTTCCTCCAATGAAATCATAATTATCAACAATATGTGATTACATGTCAATATATAGAAAGAACAATGCATTTTTTTAAAATATATAAAGGAAAATATTCTTTCACATTCAAAATCTTTCTCAAAATTGTTCATTTTATAGATTGCATTGTTAGAGAATATAATCATTTTCCTGATTTTTTTACTTCTTCAGTGTAAGTTTGTTTAGTAATTTAGCATTTGTTATAGTTATTTCTTCATTGTTACCTCAGATATTGTTTTTCTTAGTCTTCATTTATCAATTTTTAAATTATTTCATACTCAAACTATTCTTCTCAAGAAGAAGCACTATACTACTCCATACAAAATGATGAGAGATTCCATTATAACTGCAATACATGACCATTAAGGTGTCAATAATTGTAGCAACACGTTATCTTCCAACATTTAGATCATGAAAGTGAATATTTCCCATTTATGAATGAAATATATACCAAACCAAGTTTTATCATTTTAAAAAATAGTTTATAGATATTATAATACAAAATACATATAGATATTGTGTATGATATGTTGATTCAATCAACAATCTTGTGTGGATTTTTTTTTTTTTTTTACTTCCTAGCTCAGATTTTCTCAGAATTTTAATCAAAATAAAATAATTTACTTGTAAAACTACTAAATGTATGAGAGAGAAATAAATCCCACTTGTTGCAAAAGAAATTTTTGATGATTTTTCATCTTCAGAAAAAATAACTGTGGTGACTTTAACAGTAAGAAAGTAGAAAAATAATGAAAAGTTGTACATTTTAAATTTTACATTTTACATTATTATTTTATCTTTTCTAAAATGTTTTTTTAAAGAACTGATATGATAACTAATATTTTCTTTATATTATTTAATTGATATAAAACGTGTAAATTTTATAGTTTATATATCGGTGGTAAAATCATTATTGAAAATTTAAAATAATTATTATAGATTCTTTTCTAATATAGTGCATTTTTTCTTCTAAAGTACACTACGTTGCTAATTTTAAAAGCGCATTCATTACCTATTATTGTAAAAAAGCCATTAGCTCCAATTTAATGTTGCTAAATTAGAATTTTTTAACAATCAAAACAATTCTATCATTTACTTTTTGGTGTGAGTAAAAAGGAATAAGAATTTATATTGACTGTGAATAGGCAAGTACATTGTAATATTAATGTATAGGTTTTATATTAGCAGAATAAAATTATCATATATAAGTTTTTATATTAACAAATAAATACTATATACACATTTAATCAAACTTCTAAAACAATTACTATAAACAACACTAAATTTACTATATAGAATAATTTGTAATTAAATGATAATATAAAAAAAGTAACTAATAAATATATTATTATTTCAACGAATATCTAGATATCCTCACATTACTATTTATTTTTCAATTAGATATTCAAAATTTTCAATTCGTCATAATTATTTTCTGAAGTTAAAAGAAAACAGAATAAAAAAAATTAGTAAAAGAGATAAAGAAAAAAGAAAACATAGAAGACTTTCCCAACATTTCTACTCAGAAAATGATAATTTGCCTATCCATTTTAGATAAATAATCAATAAATAATTCATGAAAAATTAAGAAAAAAATGTGAATAAAAATATTTTATTATTATATTTATAAAATAAATTTTTAAATGATTCTTTTTTATTGTCTATAAATCATTGTTGTTTCTATTTTCACGTTAAACCGGTCAATAACTGAACCTACTCTGTACCTTCATTCAGGAATCATGCTGTAAAAAATTACCACCATCATAACCAGTGACAGATACATCAACATGTAATGATTGGATACCTTCCATATATTTTAAAGTAGATTTTCTGAAAATTCCATTCAAAAATAAATAAAATATGTTCAATAATTTTATGAAGTGCTGAAAAAATAAACCAAAAACTTACTCGAAAAGACACACAGATTCTGTACCGAGATCAAGGAACTTAAAGTAAGGATCCTAAAATTAATTTTTGTACCATGCCTGTCTTAAATTCTGATGATGTTGTGATTATTTTCAAATTTGTTATTATTAGAAAGAATTTTTTCCATAATCTTATTAAATTGCAAAAATATGTTTTGGACGTGCAATTATACCCTTCATTTGTAATCATTAAAGAAGATTCATTCTCTTCTTATAAGAAAGTTGTGACCAAAGGCAAAACATGTAACAATCTTCCATAGGAGACATTATCAGTTGAATTCCATGGTTTTCCTTCGGCAGGTAACAAAGTTATTACATGTTCAAAAACGGTTTATAGTTAAATTAAAATCTGTTTTCTTTCTTGTGCTTTACTGAAGTAGTTAGTACAGGGCATGCAACATGTTCGAAGTTACTATAACTCAGAAGCTCAAATGATAAGAGGTGGCTTTCCTCAGCCATTCATCTCTAGGACGAATAAAACCAGTTTCTTGAAGCCAAGATCAAAGGCAGAGATCAAAGTTGTGGCTGCAAAGAAACATAGTGAAGCTGAAAAGAGACGTAGAATGAGAATCAATGGTCAATATGAAACCCTCCGAGCTATCCTCCCCAACTTGATCAAAGTAAGTGTCAGACACAAGCATCAAACAGTTTTATCAAGCCATATAGGGGGGTCCATTCCTAAAAGCGAAACCAACCATGTGAAACTGAAAATTCCAACACTTATTTTAAATTTGTTTTATATTCCTAAACATAATTTCCAAAATGTTAGTCTTATTCCCTATAAAAGTTTGATACTTTTTCTGATCTTACAATTACCGAAAGTTATGTGATAAAGACTAATACACGTGTTTATATTGCAATAGTCTATAAACATTAGAATTTGAAGAGATTACAGCAAACATTTTAAAATATTTTAAAAGACTAAAAACATTTTTTGGAGGCCTGTTTATAAGTTGTTAGATTACAATTCTGTCATTTAAAAACAAAATTACAAGCATGGTGAAATAGATTTTGTCATGAATCAACAGAAGGACAAGGCATCAGTGTTGGCAGAGACTATCAAGCAAGTGAAGGAGCTGAAGAAAAAGGTATCAAAACTGGAACAAGATAGTTATGGTAACTCATCAAAGGATGTTGTTAAGTTTCCCAGTGGGGCAGACAGACTGAACTTGGAAAAATGTAATAATGAGGAGGGCCTAGTGAAGGCCACATTGAGTTGTGAGGATAGTCTGGGATTGATGTCAGCAATATCAAGGGCAGTAGGGTCGGTGAAAACCAAAGTGGTAAAGGCTGAGATTGTGAGTGTGGGAGGGAGAACCAGAAGTGTGTTGTGGGTGCAAGGTCTTGGAACTGATGGTATGGGGATGCTCAAGAGCTCTTTGAAGATTGCCATGCACAAGCCAGCCTTTAAGATGCGCCATTCTACTCAGTAATTGTGTCCTTCACTCTGACTTCTAACGATGGAGGAAAGTTGACGTTAGGAGCTATAACTAGAGCTAATAATAGTAGTTTTTAGTTTTGAGGGTTGTAGAATAATAATGACTTTAGGAGCTTTGTAGACCTCATGGCTTTCTAACCTTTAGGATTACAGTGTCTCCTTTTGCAAGCAAAATTTAGCCTTTACAATTTAGTTTGTATATTAATATCATGTTCGGCTCTTCGTATGAAGTACATGATAGTGTACGTACGTACATGGGAGCTTGGAGTTGTTACTATAATGGACTTGTTGAATGCAGGACGTATTTCCAAACACCGGTAACCACTTTAAGACTGAAGTACATAAGATTGTGAGAAATTAACATGTAATTGATTTTGTAGTTTGTCCATGAAACTGGTTGGTAAGCCGTACGCAGCCTCGTATAGTAATCCTTGCTGCCATCACCTAAGCACTTGAATAAGGGAGAAATCCTGTGAGAAATGTTTTGATAGAGAGCACACAAAGTAACATGCAACATACAACGCTCCGTATTACAAAACGTTAATTCTGAAACTCCACGAAGTAACGTTGAATCAAAATCTAACGCAGGACGCTTATTAAGGAATTAACTGGGCAAATTTTATTATAACTGATGAATTATTACTCAATTTATTTTTCTTTATTAGCTTTCTCATTTTGTTGGTAGTTGTTCTATATATACTGATGAATAAATAAAATCATTCGAGTACAGAATGAACACTAAACAGGAATCCTCATTCTATTTGGATTTGCGAAATACTGATTTCCTTCACTACACCAAAAATATCCAAGATGATTGCTTTTATCTCATCAACTCAAACTCAATAAAACGTTTGAGATGATGCATCTCCACTTGTTCTTCTCACATGTACACCAGAATTTTTGTCATAATGGTTAGCAGTGATATATCTTTTAAGGTCAATTCCCCTACTGCCACTGTGATTTTTGTTTTTGTTAGCATACAAAACTGTTTTATCTTCTGTTTCCTGCCGGAACCTTCTACTTGCACCACTATCCACTAAGAAATCTCTATCCAAGTTATCATATGAGGAAGATGCCACCATGTTAGATGAAAGCCCATAGTGGCTATACCAATTGGGTCCCACCTCGCCAAATATGTAATCCGAGAAGTCAGCAGAACTGGCTTGAGTCCTTGATACTTGCAGTACTACAAGAACTTGCATCTGACGAGCTGAAAAGTGAGCTTTCACTAGAAGAATCCACCATCGTATTTCTTCCCCCATACTGGAATCTCCATTCTTCTGGATATGCAAAATCATTGCTGAAGGAATCATCAACATCATTCCAGTTAGGATACTTGCCAAGCTTCAGCTGTAGGGAGGGAGAATCACTGCTTGTAGCCATGGAATTTGATCTTGTTTTAGAAGTTGCAGGAATGGCTTCCAGGTACCTCCTCTTGACCTTTCCAGCAGAAGAGATTGCATGACTACTTACTAAACCCAGTGGCTTCGGGGAGTGCCTGAATATTTTTAAAATTAGCATAAAACAAAGCTATTATTAATGCTGAGATATTCCTCCAAAAAATAAAAATATCTAACCAGAAATTGTACATTAACATCCACAGTCCAACTACCTTGCATAAAGAAGCATGTATGCCCTTTCTGATAAGACTCTTGACAATTCGACAGGTTCTACCTAAATAGAAAGACAGATTCCATCCTCAGTTTGCATAATGAAATTCACCTCATAAAGATACTATGCAGATTCTTAAAATTTAATGGCACAAGTTTAAGAAATAAAATTCAAAAGGTATTTTCACAGATATTTTTCGAGAAAGGTTTAGGTATTTCTTTAAAAACTGAGAAACAAAAAGGCAATAATAACTTACGAAGAAGAATTTCTGATATACCATGATGCTTCTGAAACTTAACATACTTAAAAAAAAAATTGTTTTTAATAAATAGCATATTAGCAATTGACAAAACCCTCACAACCTTGTACTATGCCATGGTTCAAATTTAAAACTTAATAGTATAATTTATAACTACAACTGTGGAAGGTGCCTGCTCACAAAGCATTTTTTTCTCAAATTAAGACTCAAGACTAATATCCTGTTGAAACCAATTCTGAAAAGATTCAAATTGCACAAACAAAACGGCAGTTCTTCCTAACTTGAGCCTTTTTTCAATTGATTCTTCATATATTGATGATGAAAGGTGAATAGCTTTCTATGTCGTATGAAAAAGCAAGCACGTATGAAAATCAAAGCCAAGAATCAAATAAGTCAAATGATACCATCATTTGTATAATTAAAATTTTTGTGGATGGTGTGGGGGGGAGGAAACATTCAGACACAAACGTAAATCAGAAGGAAAAAAAGTCACCCTGCTGTCATCAGTCCTGAACCATTCTCCCTGAATGTTCTTCACATAACAGACATAATGGCCTGAAAATGCAGCATTCATGATATCCAAATGGACAACCACTGCATAAAGGCTGTATAATGGAGATTTATCTTTTGTTCCACTCATATACGGAGCCATATTCAGGACCTCAGGGAACTGAACCGACTTGTTCAACTTCTCAAAGTTACCAGACTGCTGAAGTAGACAACAGAATATGCATGAGATACAGTATATAAAACTAAAATAACAGTCATAGAGCAAAGTAACTAAATAACAAGTAAAAGTTCAAAATTAATATCGGGCATGTACCTGAAATCGTTTTAATACAATTGTAAGAATATTTGGTGCCTCCAATACGGTCAACTTCTTCCTGGCTTTCTCATATGTTTTACATCTGGATAGGAAGAAAGAAACAAATATAATGATTTAATATTGAGTTTGTGTCCCAAGGAAAGGAAAAGTAACCCTCAAAATACCAGTTTTGCCGCTCTAAACTACATGACATTTGTAAACTACTTCAGTTTTCATGAAAATGGAATAAAAAAATCCAGATTACAGACTTTGCATTGTGCTCAGTACCTAAAGTTCTGACTATCTAGTAAGTGCTGATTGTGCAATCCTACATGTTAAGGGGACCCTAGTATTCTGAGTTGTTAACGGGAATTGTTGCCCGTGGGATCACTATCTTCGCTGTGAACTCATGAGATCGTAAATTCCCAGCAAAAGGCAAATACCCAAACTCTGGGTTGGATCGCTATAACTTGGTTTTAAAATCCCTCATTTTCCTTTTTCTCACTTCACCTGCAACCAACGAACCTCAAACTTCTTCGCTGCTGCCAACCACAGCCACCCCACTCTTGGACCCTCGCATGCAGGATTGGTCAAAGGGATCATCAGCAAGCAGGACCACAGTGGGATCACAATCTTCATGATAAACTCCTGGGATGGTCAATTCCCATCAAGGCAAGACCCAAACTCTGGATCAGATCCCTTCCTTTGACCCAGTTTTCAAATTTCCTAATTTCCTTTTTCTTTGTCCGTGATCTACTTTAGGACTATCCCATTCTCACTTCATCTACAACCAACAACCCTGAAACTGATCTCACCGGCCACCACCACCATGCCCACCCTTTGGCTTTACAAAGGGCAAACTGCAAACAAACAGTTCTGCACTCAGTCTCTCCTTCTCTACCTTCTATTATTCACTGGCACCTTCTCTCACTCTCAGTCTATGCTCCTTCCTTATTGTTGATATAATTTTGGACTAATTTATTAAATTTGGATTTTATGACTTGTTAGAGTTATGATTTTTCAATTTAAGTTTGGTTATTGCGGTGATTTAGTGGTTATCTTCTTTATATATGTTTTTTATGCAAATGCATATAAAATATAATTTCACATTTTAGGTAGGAATGCCGGATCTTTGATTCGAGTAATGAATATACACTTTCCCAATTCTAGTTAGAATCTTGAGTTTAAACTATGACTATGATTGCATATGTAGTCTAATAAAATCAAATTAGCTGAACAAAAAATCTTAATATGACCTAAGTTGAAGCAAGAAATACATCAAACAAATTACATTATAGTTAAAAGCCTCGCCACAACAAGGTCCCACAGAATTCTTCTTCCACACACTTCATAAAGTATGTTGTGGAAACTTCTCATTTTGCAAGAGAAGCGTTTCTTCAATTGTAAAAACCATCTAAAGATCAATTTGACAGTAATCACAATAGCCCAGAAGACCACTAGACTATAGATTCAGGATTTTAAACACTGCTACAGCAGGCTAGCTGAGTGGCCCCTGGCTGCTGCAGGGGCTGCCGTAGCTGCCGTAGCAGACAGTTCCGCATAGAAACTTTCACAGGTAAAATAGCAGCCTGAAAATCAATCAAAAAGCTGCCATTTCTCATTTTATCTCTCAACTCAAACATCATTTATGTCTACAACTCTCTCCCCCAGCACTATAGTAATTGCTCATTCAATTTAGGAATTTAACTCATTAGTGAAAAACTCAGAATCTTAATCTTGAAGATTTTATTATAAATTTTAACTGCAAAACATAAATTAATTAAAAGTAATAAATTTTAATATATATGATGTACCATTAGAAAAAGGAAACAAAAATTAAGCTGCAACATTACTTAGCAATAATACAAACAATGTATCAAATTTGCTAAGGAAAAAAGGAAAGAAAAGAAATGCAAGCACAGGAACATTATAAGTTAATAATAATAGGCTAGACTAGAATTGGAATAAATGAGAAAATGGAAATATTAACAAACCTGCTGCAATTATACTTGTTATCTTTATCCAAGATTTCAGGTGCCGTAAATTGTCCAAGAGCCTCCTCCAAAGTTCCAATATCACCATCAATTTCAACAGTAAGATCCATCATTCTCTCGTACCTTTCAGATTTTCCCAGGCATCTTAAGCACTTTATCTGCAATTTGACCAAATATTTTTTATTTTTAAGAAAAGTATCTTCTTACAACTCTGTAAAAGTTGAAACATGTGAACCTAATAAAAAATAGACTTTTTTATTAGTATCAACCTTAGATCGAAGATAACCTCCAAAAGTGTAACCAACTAGAGTTGTTTCTTCTGTCAAAGGACTTGAAACACCGGCTTCCTTGAGGCAAACAGATTGCATTGTATCAACTGCACACCTGCCCAGTTGAGCAATTAATAATGTAAAAACTTGAGGTATAATATCAAGATGGGTTCACAGCTAAAGCAATTATTTGCCTCACCTCAAAAACTCATGTGCATCTTCTTCCCTCCCATGCCCAAGATGGCTTCCAATCTTGTGTATCTTAGATAATATCCCAATTGGTGAAAGTGGAGAAATCCCTTCTTTTGCCTTCTGGATTAGATATTCAAACTCACATGTAAAACACCATCCCTTCTTTTGACCTAGATAAACCATTGTGAAGATTTAATTAATTACAAGGTCCTGATAATTGGACAAGTTAATTCATGAAGATATTAAGAGAAACTTGCATCGTTTTGAATGGAACCCTTGAAAAAGATATGAAGTCAGAGGCCGAGTATATGCCAAGCACTGGAGAACAGCATTGGCGTAACAACTGCAGATGAGGCATTTCAATTAGCAACGTGATTAATGTTGAATGGAGAAAATATACAGAAACAAGCACTGGCTGTGCCTCTCTCGAGCTACATGAAACACAAGGAAACAAGCATTGAATACCAGTACAAAAGTAGCCAGCAAGCATTAGCAACTAGAATGTTTACTAGATGTTCTCGCAAAAGTTTCTTTCATCTCAATTACCAAATCCTATTCTCATAATTATAGGACTATGCCTCATGAGAGTATTAAAATAAAAAATGAAGATACATAAAGCTCCAAAACAAACATATAGTTTCCAAACTCATTTCTTCCTTCTCCCTTCCTTTCACTAGAGCAGTTACATGGCCTATGACATATTACAACAATCAATAGAAGTAAAAAATAACTCAACAATACCTGTTCCCACAGTTTGTAAGGCCAAAGGGCAATAGCTTCATCTTGTCATAACAGTAAAGTTCCACAAAGAGTTCATAAGGAAAACCCATCTGCCAAAATTATACAATTTGAATATCAACAGAGACAAAATTATTTGTATAATAATAATAATAATAATAATAATAATAATAATAATAGTTATTTCTAAAGAAATAGGTCAAATATATACCAACCTCATTTTCAGCAGACATTGAATTGGCTCTTGAATCTTTTGAGCTTCTAAACTGCTGGACAACTTTCTGCATTGATGTTTTCAAACCACTGCGAACATTTTGCGGCAAATTTGGAATAGCAGTAACTTTGGTGGGTAACGTATGATGATTCTCAGTTTTCACATACTTAGCCTGTGAAAGAAAATCCCCCTTGATAGTTGAGGATAGTCGATCACGAGAACTAGATGATGATCTTCGTGCTTCTCTGTATTTGGACAAATGGGATTCTTCTTCTACATCATCAATTACAGCATATTTACTAGAACCACCCAAGTAAGGCACAGTTTTGCATTTAGATGTATCTGTTACTGATTTTTCAAGAATTGCAACTTTTCTTCTGCGTTCATGACTACCCGAATTTGCTGCCTCGTCATGAGATGTATCAGATTTAGTTTTGGGAAATTTTGATTTCAATCGAGTCTCATCAGTAGTGTTACTAGGATTTTCCTTGTTTCTTTTACTTGCACTAGAATCCTTAACTTCAATATTCATGGAACATTTCTCGTTAACTGTCAAATCTTTGTTATTAGGGGAACCCACACTTGTATCAGCAGTAGTATCATTGCAGACAGGGTTAGCAAATCTGCTGTAACAGTTATCATCAAATGATTTTCTAGCACCAACAGAAGGATCAAGGCTGGAAGTTGAGTCATTGAAAGATGAAATACCAGCATATATTCCTTTAATTTCTGCAGCAAATCTAACTAAATTATAAACCATATATGCATGAAATGATATAACGAGAATTGCAATAAATAAAAAAACATTACCAAGATGACCAGGCTCAGTTTTGGACACCGATGCCCTGCAAGAAACATTTTCGTCATTGATCTCCATGGTAGTAGTTGGAGGACAACATTCATCCTTGTGGCCTTGTCTCCAGTGACTAATTTGACACTTACCCGAACTACAAGAAGGTATGCTTGTGAGAATGAATAAAGAAACATTGTAATATATTAATAGGATGAAATGATGGCTCGATAGACATGTCACTGAACAGAGAAGAGACACAGGAAAAAGAAACTACAGATATTCAGGAACGCAGCTACATCAAATCATTAGCAAAACTACTCGCTATAAAGATGACAAATCAACCTCTTTCAACTACAAACACAAGAGAAAAACATCAAAAAATACACAAGCAACCCCCCCCCCCCCCAAGATATATTCATTATCCTTTTTATCGTCAACAAAAAGGGAAAGAACAATAGCTCCTAACTACAGAGGCAATGCAAACAACTTATTGCGTATTCGGTTACCTGATGGGGATGTGGTTTGTCATTATCAGTGAAAAGCACATAATTATGTTTGGATCTGCTTTGATGATCCTCTTTCTCCTATAAACTCACGACAAAGTGCTCACAATAACATATTTTACATGATACCAAACATGCGGATAGCTTTCACGTTTTTAAGTAGAATTGGCATGGTTTCTCTTCTAAACGGGTATTCAAACATGCAATTCCTTCAACAGAAGTGAGAAAACAGGCCAAATTAAATATAACACATCATACAAGGTAACCAATAACATTGAACTCAATTCTCCCATCCAACAATAAAGATTTTTCCAAACTAATACAAAAGTATAAACTCAATGCCCCTTGCATATGAAACACACTGAAATTGAAACGAAATGACTAAATTCATCACCCACACACACACATACTTATAATCCCTTTCAAACAAAGAGCAACACAAGAAGTACTTTCTTATTTCTAGCAACAAAATAATCCCTCTCCACGATTTCTACCCATTTTCTCAACCTCCGAGATTAATCACTCAATACTAATAACACAGCACAGCAGTTCAAATACATAATCATGAAGAAGAAAAACGAACCAATATCTAACGGCCTTGCAGCGAGCACACCGCATTGTGGTAGGTGCATAACACACAGCACATTGGTACCACCGAGAAACATTCACGGGAACGGGCGAAGAGTACTCCACCGGCGACGGCACAACCGCCGCAGCAACCTCCATTTCCGCCACGTCAGCATCCTCCAGCGACCTCATCATCATCGACCCCTCCCTCTTCGCCTCGGCATTCCTCCACACGTGCCGAATCACCGCAAATCCCAACGCCAATAACACATACACCAAACCCTGAAACCCTAAAATCCCGGGTACCAGCATCTCTCTCTCCCACTCACTCACCTTATCCCGCACCCAGGACAAGCCCCGAACACAGGATCCAGAGCGTCGTAATCTTGCTACGCATAGATAGCCTCTGCCGAGAACGGCGAGGGCGAGGGTGCAGGGCGTCGGAAGCAGGAGGTTCCCGGCAGGGGCAGAATGGGAAAATCAAACTCCGAAGAGGATGAGCAATGAGAGGAGCGCGAGCATAGGAAGGAAATGAGTTTATTCAGCGGTGAGTTTGGGTTCTGAAATCGAGTAATGGTTTCGATTCAGCTCAGATGGTGGAATTGCGAATATGCGACACAGCGATCTGTTTGTCGTTTCTCTTGTCCTCCGGGACTTGCCGTTTGGACATCCTTCTCTCCTTGCATCATTCTACAGTAACGTCTCAACTCTCTCTTCTTTTTAGTATTTCTTTTTCTTTTTTTTTAAATGCCCAAACGTTACGTTGATGATAAATATAAATGCTAGTGGTAACGTTGCAGGGTTCGTGTACCACTGTTTCTCAACATTCAATAAATGGCCCTCGGATTATATTGGTAGTCGAATCTTTTGTACTTGCAAAGTAACCCACATCATAACACCAATAAACGCCTCAATGTGCTATTTGTAATAATAGGACTATTATTATTATTATTATTATTATTATTATTATTGTTACTAGTAGTTTACTATTGTTCAAATGCTATAATTGTTATTTATTAATGCCAGTTCACTGCCACAATACTTCCTCACTCACTCCCTCTACTTTCGCCTAAACATATTAATATTCCCAACACGGTAAGAATCATCTACACATTTTTTATTTTTAGGCTCTGTAACTGTAACTTTCGAATTTAATTGAATTAGTAATGAAGTTTCGTGTCATCTTTTTATTATTTAAGTTTATATCAGAATAACGGTTTTAATCTGCGTCAAAAATCTTCCACGGTCAATGTTCATCTATTATAATACTGGTAGTTGCGCCAATTTATATTATATCTTATTTCTTTTACTTTTTTTTAATAATAGTAATAATAATAAATCTAATTTTTGTTTTACTTTTTCAATCACACAATTTTTTGTTTTCTGGTCTTATTTCATATGCCTTCAACACTTCATAATCTACGAAACTAATTTTATATTTTAAAATTAATATAAATATTCAATTTAAATAAATTGAAATTAAAAACATGATATAGGTACATTTATCTATGTTATATATTAGAGAGAGAGAGTTAATTAGACAGCTCATATCTTTTATTTAATAATCTATGTTTATCTCTCTTCCATTATTATTTTTCTTGTGTTTTTCAGTTTTTTCCTTTTTTAATATTTCTTCACAAATAACCTAAAATAAAAAATTAATTAATCTTTAATTATACTTTAAAATAGTTTAAAGCATATTTAATTTTTTAAAAATAATAACATAATTTAATCAAAATTTAAATAAAATACATATTATAAATAAATAAATTTTTAAATAATATAATAATAATTTTTAAAAATTTTAATAGAATATTAATATATACAGTTATTATTAGATGGTGATTTAAGAATACAATAATTAATATAAATATTAAAATTTAAAATTTAAAATTTATTAATGTTATATTAATATATAGAGTAATTAGATGGTGATGTATATAAGAGAAAATATCTAAACATCATTTTTTTATTTTAAATTGAGATAAATATTTAAAAAATTATAAATAATTTATTTAATTGGAATTAAACATTGTAAATTTAGTGATTAAATATTTCTAATGCTGTCTAATTATATTAGTAATTAATATTAATTTTTCTAACCAATTATTGTAAATTTTATTTATTTAAAATATTTATTTTCTAAAAATATGTTAATGTTGTGATTTAATTGATTTATCAATAATGTATTTAATTATTATTTATTTAGTTTTGTGTGTGTGAAAGAGAAAAAAATAAGTAGAGGTGAGATAAAAAATTGACGAGTTCTCTTATCTTAACTATATCCACGCAAATTCATGTTAGAAAGTTATGATTACATTAAGTATTTTTCCGTGCTTAATTTTTTGTTTTTTATAGTAGTAGTTGTGTGATTTTGGCGATTGAATTTTAAATTATATTTAAACATATTTGAAGAGACAAAAATATATATATTTGATAAATGAACAAGATGTTCGGTATTAAAATACTTTTCTAAAAAAAGTAATGATTCAAATAAATGGTATTTAAGAACTATTAAATGCTAAATGGTATAAGAATAATATGATGAGTCTTATTCCTTTTTAATGTTAAAAATAAATTTGTACTACTATAATAACTCGTGAAATAAAAACTATTATTGAAAGTTAACATAAATAAAGAAAACAAAATTTAAATATAAAAACCCTAAAAAAAATATTTCCATTACCATGTTTAGGTTTTGTCTTTTCATAACGAATAAATCTCGTGGTGAATAATTATGAAAAGAAAAATGGCAGGGAAGGTACGCATCGCTTTTTCCCTCAGCGAACATGTAGGTCCATATTCTTCTTGGGGGTAGCAAGAGAATAAAACGACACTCTTTTTCAACAAAATTTATATGTAAGAAAAGTTACATTTTTTTAAGTTTCCAAAAAATGTCAAATATTTGTTTTTCTGAACAATTTCAATTCAATGACTATTTCACCCTAAAGTCAACCACTTAGGAATAAGAGGATGTAACTATACATACTTTAATGGATTAAATTGTTACAGTGCCTTTCGTAATGGGGTGTGATAGAAAGTGTGGAATGTGTTTTTTAAGTGCACAACCACAGGAACTTTATTTTGGACTGTTGAGGGAGAATTAAGAAGGGAACATTCTTCTCTTTTTTAATGGCTGAACAACATTCTCCACTTTTAACTGTCACAGGTTAAAGAGCATCCCTTGTTCATTGGTAGACCAATCATTTCAGTTTTCATATGATGGGCTACCATAATTTTGGGCCCAATGAATGTCTTGTCCTTAAACATGAATCATTACTTCTTTTAATTTAGAAGCGTACCATTCAAAAATCATTATATGCAAGACACTTTTTAAAAAATATAAATGAAGTTTTGAGTCAGAAGGCCTTGTTCTATGGACGGGGAGAGAGGAGATGAAAAAAACAAAATAAAAAATGATGCGAGATAAAGCATTCTCATCTCCTCAGCAAGATAATAACTATGTCTTTGTAGAGGAAAAAAAAATTTATAAAAACCAAGGAGAAACAGAAGGGAGAAAAGGGTTCAATATTTTGTTACCATAGAAGATGTGTATGAAATATATTACACTGATGTTGGTCGTTCTAGAAATGATAAAGAAGTTATCTTTCATCATTTTTTACTTCTTAGCCCTATAGCATTTTTTTAAAATAATTTATTATCATTATTCATATCCAACTTTTTAATCCTATTTTAATTACAATATTAACTTAGAATAGTACGGTGAAGGTCCAAAACTTTATAAATGATTAAGAAAAACTTTTTATTGCAAACTTGTTAACACCTTAAGCAACGTGGTAATCATAAATTTATATTTATTTTTATTATTTAGATAAATATAAATTATCAAAATAGATAATTTGATATTATCTAATATTATATTATAAACCAAGTAAAAGAATTAATGATACAACTTAATTTATATTTTAAAATATATCATAATTTTTTTGTCTAATTTAATTTTATATTATGTTATAATAAATTTAAAAAAATAAAAAAGTTAAAAAATTATTAAATTAGTTTCTAATGCATTTATATTTTTTAATAAAATAATATTTTTATTTAAAAAATTATTATTATTTTATAAAATAAACCTTAGTCTAGATCTATTTAGATCATAATATAAAATTGTTTCTTGTTGTGAACCAATGATTTTTTTATCCCATTATATATATATATATATATATATATATATATATATATATATATATATATATATATATATATAAATTAATGTCAAACAAGTCTTTCAGGTAAATTTTCTTCTTCCACCACACCTTGTACTAGCACATGCACATTATTTGTTATACCTCGCCCCTTTATTTAAGTATATTTTCACTTTAAAATTAGAAATTTATTTATACTTTGAATGAAATGACATGATGTGCATCCAAAAATTTTGTATAAAAATGAATTTGATTTGTATTTGTAATATTTTAGAATAATAAATATGAAATACATTTATGAAAATCACAATTTGAAAATGAGTTTTGGAGATCTATCAATCCATAACCATTTTTTATTATATTTTCTGAAAATATATTTTAGAAAACATAAGATCTTGATTATATTTTTTAAAAATATATTATAAAAAAAGCATATACATTTTGGAATTAATTTTCTGAAATATATTCATGAGAAATACAATTTATAAATGAGTTATGGACAATACAATCTAAAACTCATTTTTAGATTGTATATTCTAGAAAATTGATTTTGAAGATTTTTTTAGAAATTTATTGGAAATGTTTTAAAATTAATTTTTTAGAATATATTTTCGAAAGTTGATTTAGGAACATTTTTGGAAAGCTTTTGAAAAGATTAATGCGAATAAATTTTGAAATGAGTTTTTTAAAACCTATTTATATTCAGAGTAATATTGTCATTTTATACTAATATGGAGCGAGAGGAAGAAAGTACGAGAGTGTAAGAAGAAGCAACCATGATTTAAATGGGTCAGAATAAAATTATTCTAATTCAATTTAGACCATAAATTTTTTTCTTAACCTAAACTTTTTATATTGATATATGGGATTAAGCATATTTTAACACCCATAATAAATCTTATGACAAGTTGCCTAATGATTTATTTTTTTTAGGAAAATATTTGAAATAAATAAACATTCACATTTTCAATATAATCTTTGGTGTATATGTCTTAAGATTTTTTACCAAATATCTTACTGATTTGGGTGATTTTATCTTTTATAAATAATAATAATAATAATAATAATAATCAAATTTCCATTTTAGTTGTAAATGGAGTTACAAAGTGTGTGTGTGTATATATATATATATAATATAGGGTTAAG